GTCCTGCCCAGGCCCCCCGAGGGAGGACGATGGTCGTGGGGGGAGCAGGCGGGGGGGGGGCGGGGCCGGGACCCCTGGGGACCTCACCGCCAGCCCCCACCCGCCCAGGATGGCAGCCTGCAGTGCCCGACCTGCAAGGCCATCTACGGGGAGAAGACGGGCACTCAGCCGCCCGGGAAGATGGAGTTCCACCTTATCCCCCACTCGCTGCCTGGCTTCGCCGACACCCAGACCATCCGCATCGTCTACGACATCCCCACAGGCATCCAGGTGCACCCCCTCGGACCCCCGACCCTGCTCCTCTGACCCCTCCAGAGGCCCCCACCCCTGTCCCCTGTTCAAGCCCTGCTCCCGCTCCCCACAGGGCCCGGAGCACCCCAACCCAGGCAAGAAGTTCACCGCAAGAGGCTTCCCACGCCACTGCTATCTGCCCAACAACGAGAAGGGCCGGAAGGTGGGTGCCACGAAGGTGCAGGGGTGTGGGTGGGAGCGGGCCAGGGCCTGCGGTTCCCATTAGCCCCAATCCCTGCTCTCAGATGCCTCCCCCATCAGCATTGACCATAACCACCTGTGTGCCGAGCCCTCATCTCATTTACCAGCCCACTGAGGTCAAGGTCTCGACCCCATTTTACAGATAAAGAAACGAAGCCTCGGAGAGGGCAAGTAACTTCAACTAGGTCACACAGCTAGTAAGTGGTGGAGCCCAGATTTGAACCCAGGCTCTTCACTACCACACTATAGATTGTCTGCTTTTACTTTTTGTTTTTCAAGAGAAGTCAGAAATTCAGACATTCACGTGAACTCTCCAGGTTTTTGCATATTGCCAAGGAAGCCACAGAGTGGCTATTTAACACCTTGTGGATCCAAACCAAACACAGCGGAGGGCCGTCAGTTTGAGATCCTTCCTTCCTTCATCCCAGAAGAAACAGGCAGATAACTTGGAGCGAGCTTTTACTGGGGAGTGAGGCCAGGGAAGGAAGTGGCCGGCGAGGGAGGGAGGCTGGGCTGCCCGTGACCTCGGCCGCCCCGCCTGGTCCCGGGGCCCCGTCCTCCAGGTGCTGAGGCTGCTCATCACAGCCTGGGAGCGGAGACTCATCTTCACCATCGGCACGTCCAACACCACGGGCGAGTCCGACACCGTGGTGTGGAACGAGATCCACCACAAGACGGAGTTCGGGTCCAACCTCACGGGCCACGGCTACCCGGACGCTAGCTACCTGGACAACGTGCTGGCTGAGCTCACGGCCCAGGGCGTGTCCGAGGCTGCGGCCAAGGCCTGAGGCTGCCCACCTTCCCTCCTGCTTTGCCAGCATACACGTCCCTCTGCCGGGTGTGTCCTGGCGGCCCAGGGTCAGGGCTGGGGAGGAGCCTGCGGAAGGAGCCAGAAGCATTCCAGGGATTTAGCTGGTGGCAGTTAGGGTGATGGGAGGCCGGCTCGGACCCGTACCTCCCTGAGAGGGGTGGCAGAGAGGGTACTGGAAACCACGGCAACCTCCGTCCTCCCTCACGCAAACACACGTGTCCTGGTGAACACACGCACGCACACCCACGTGCCTCTACTTACCCCCAAGCTGGGGGAAGAGACAGGAAGACCCCTGTGACACTCCGTGTGGACCCCATCTGTGTCTCTGTCGCATCTGTACAGGCTTGTCTGCCAGCAGGAGGATTCAGGTCACGCACTCGGGCCTGCTGGGGCTCCCGGGGGGGAACGGGGCGCTTGGGACGTTCAGCCTACCCCCATCTCTGTCACCGGTCTCTGCCACCCACTGATGGGCAGTTGTGGGCCCATGGGGTGGAAGCCTCAGATGACTGAGCAGTTTTGCAAAGGGGCAGGCCACGGAGAGGGGGACTAGAGGTATCTTATTTTGTGCTTGTGTCTCTGCATCCTCCTGGGACCCTGACCTCCTCCCCTCCCCTCCCATCCCCACGCCTTATGTCTGTCCCAGATAAGGCCCTGTTCTCCCCCCCGCCCCCAACTCTATCCCGCCATCAAATCGCTTCCAACGTCGAGACCCGAAGGCTGGAGCTTCCGGCTTCAGGAGCGAGGAGGCCTCGCTGAGCCAGCAGGTCTAAGAACAGCTCGGACAGCAAGGAGTCCGTTCCAGTCCTTGGGATTGGGCAGTGGGCGGCTCACGGTCTCGGCCAACCAGGGGCCCGTTGCCCCGGCAACTCACCAGCTCCGCCTCTGTTGATTGGCTGCCGCGGTGGAAGTCAGCCAAGACTTAAAGGGCCGCCAGCGACTGCTCTTTTGAAAACCTACCAGTTCCACTGTGGGTGGAGAAATAAACGGTCTTTCTCCTCCTCCTCCGGGCTTTTCCTGCCAAGGGGGGGGGGCCTCCACCCCATCGGGGAGCTTGCAGCAAGATGACGACCCCAGGACCACCGTCGCTCTCAGCCTGGGGCAGCTGGAGACGGATGGTCCCCATAATTCTCCTGTCCTGGGGCAAGCAGGGGCTGTCATGGGGGCAGAGGCAGACCCTCCAGGCCTGGACAGTGCTCTAGAAGCTCCCTGGGACAGTTACTGTGAGGAATGAGGGCCGCGGGCTGAGAGCCGCCGGGAGAATGTGCAGGAGCTGGGAGACACCGTGGTGGGCTCATTGGGACCTCAGAGCCCCAGCCTCTCCTCGAGGAGGAGGGCCAGCTTCCGTCTAGAGAGAGAGGGACAGATCCCAGGATCTGCAACAAGCCTCGTGTCAGTCTCTGCAACATCCCAGGATGCTGGGTGGCTGTGGCGGATGCTGCGGCTCCAGGCGCCCCCTGCTGGCCACGCGCGGGATGGCGCCGTGTCTTTCCTGGTCCACCCTATCCCCAGCCAGGCGGGTTCAGTTTCTGTCCCTCCCTCTGGTCACACAAAGCCGGAAACGAGACCTTGGTGGCCTTTCCAGTTCTGCCAGTTGGGTGTTCCCAAACATCTTACCTTCTGTGATTCATTCTCAAACAAAATCTCATCTCAAACCCTCATTATGATCGCTCAGCCCTGTGATCCTCAAATGGCATGTTCATCCACGTCCCTTGAGGAACTTGTTAAAAAATCCCGACTCCTGCCCCCACACTCCCTCAGGTCGTTCGGTGGAGCTGGGTGGGGCCCAGGAATCTGCACGTCTAGCAGACTTGGGGTGGGGTGGACCACAGTCTGAGAAGCCCCTGCCTGGCTCCAGAGCCACCTCTGTGGAACCCAGTTTGAACACCACACATCTGAACTCACTCCCTCCTCATTTTATACAGGGTAAACTGAGGCCTAAAGAGGAGAAAAGAGTCTGACCCAAGGCCTCCCAGGCTCCAAGGATCTGAGTCTGGCACACTGGGCTCCCAGCCTCAGTTCTTCCTGAGGGCACCTGATTCTGGAAACTTGTGGTTAGGACCCTCGGCCAAGGGCAGGGTTCGGGAGGATCAGTGAGGTCACAGGGACTGGCAGACACGAAAACAGGAAGGGCTAAGCCCGTTTAGTGCTCGTCTGGGGCAATAAGACCACATGGGCATCGGGGATTCAGGTACAGCTGTATCCAGCAGCTCAGGGCCAGGCTGGCCTCATTGGTGTGGGCAGAGGCCAGTCCGGTGAAGCAGAGACCAATGAGTTAGGTTCCTCATCCCATCCACTCCAGTCTGCCTCAACCCAGAGAGCGAGACTCATTCAGTGCAAGGCTGACCCCCTGCTGAAGGGCTTCCATGCGCCGGGTTCCGGGCTTAGGGCACATGGGATGAGGATATTTCCAGAAGCCTCCAAGCCACAGCATCAGCGAGGTACAGGACAGCCACAGGGCACTCCCGGACCAGGGTACGCTGAGAAAAGCCCAACAGCTCCTTACTCCTCCTGCCAAGCTGGCTCTGGGATCTCCTCAGGGCCCGAGGGGGCCGGGGGCCGCCTTCCCCTGCTCCTGCTGCCGGAACTCCTCGTGGGCTCGGTCCAGATCTTCGAGGACCTCCAGCAGGCGGGCGGCTGCCTCTCTCTGCCGGGCCAGGGCATCAGGACCAGCCCCTGGGAGGGAGACAGGGGGCCACGGGGGCTCAGCCAGGCCAGGGCTGCCCCAACCAGACCCCAGGGCTTTCCCAGGCTCCAGATTAGTCTTGTGCCCTGAGACTCCTAAAGTGTACCGGAGCCACACCCACAGCCCCCGGGCCTGCTGGTGGACCGGAAACAGGAGAGTGGGGGGGAGGGCATCGCGGGGTGCTTGGCAAGTTGTGGGGAGGTGTCAGAGGGGCCAAGAAAAGGGACCTTCTAACCCCTTACCTTCCACGGCACTGGAGCCCTTCCCTGTGTCTGCCTCCGGGGTGGTATCCACGTTAGAATTCTCCAGGAATTTCATCCTGGAAGTTGAGAGGGAGACAGACCAGGCTGGGCCCTGATTCCCAACCCTGCTCTCCACCCTAAAGATTCTCTGCTGGTGGCAGGAGAAATGACAGGCTCTCCCTAATCATCACCATCATCACCATCACTATCACCATCACACAGACATTTACAGGGCGTCAGACTCTATTCTAAGCCCCTAACATGTATTAAGCCATTTCATTATCACAAAACACTTATCTGAGGAAGGTACTTACTATTAGCTCCATTATACACATGGTCACTAAGACACCAAGAGGTAAAGTAACTTGCTTAAGGTCACACAGCGTAATAATAATTGTGAGCATTTATTGAAAGCTGACTATGTGGCCAGCCACCTACAAAGTGCTTTACTTGTATTGGCTCATTTGACTCTCAGGACAATCCTGTGAGGTAGGTTCTCTTGTTATCCCTATTTTCCAGATGAGGAAACTGAGGCACAGAGAAGGTAAGCAACTGGCCCAAGATCACACAGCCAGTAAGTGGCCAGGCCACTTGGGCAGGCCAGCTTCAGAGCCCACTCGATAATGAGTTGGAACAAACCTCTGTCACTGAATGACACTGATCCCGAGGCCAGGACGGGGAAGGGACACACCCATCGTCCATGCCTGTGTCTCTAGATCCCCAGGTATTAAATGACCCCAAGATCCAGTTCTGCATGAGGGCCCGCCTGAGGATGCTCCCCAGTCCTCATCTGGAGCTGCCCCACCCAGGAGGCTCAGCCGATGCGCACAAAAAGAATGAATGAATGAGCATGGGAGGCCACAGTGGGCTGCCCAGCTGGTCACGGGGTGAAGTGGGACGGGTGGGGGCACCCACCTGAGCTGGTCCCGGCCCAGGAGCAGCTGCCGATACACCATCTGCGTCTCAGCATCCGGGTCCAGCGGGTCACTCCAGTCCCCCAGGGTGACGGCCGAGTGCGTGCGGCTGCAGCCGGTGGCTGGGGAGACACGGCATCGTCAGTAACTCCTCCCAGCCCCTTCCAGAAGCCCATGGCCAGGCAGTCACCAAGCCCCGCTCCTTCTGCCTCTAAAATCGCTCTTCAAACCGACTCCTTCCTTCAAGCCCGGCTGCCTCCACCGTCTGCCAAGAGAGCAGCAGCCTGGCCCCTCTCCATGCCCCTCCCACACTCCGGGCTCCAGCCACACAGACTCCTCCAGGCCTGCAGACCTCTCTGCCTCACCTCCAGGCCTTTGCTCTGCCTGAAACGCTCTTCCTTACCCCAGCTTCGCTGCCTAACTTCTCAGGTCACATTTAAGCAGCACCTCCTCCAGGAAGCCCTCCTTGCTCTCCTACCCTGGGGCTGGATCATCTTGGTACTTATGACACTGTATTTCACTTGTCTTCCTCCAGAGCACGCTCGATATCTGTCTGTGTACACTAGACACCTGGCACATAGTGGGTGCTTAAAAAATCATAGCTCCATTCAATGAGCATCATGTGCTGGGCAGTGTTCTAAGCGCTTTGCTCATCTATCAACTCATTTAATCCTTGCAAGAACCCTAAGCACTATCAGCAACCCCATTGCACACCTGAGGAGACAGGCAGAGAGAGGTTAAGTGACTTGCCCAAGGTTGCACAGCCAGCCCGGGCGGAGGCGGGACACCGCTGATTGACAGGTGGGCGGGCGGACTAGGCTCCGCCCCCACGAGTCCGCCCCGCGCCTCACCTGAGCGCTCCGCCCGGAGGCAGCAGGTCCAGCGCGCGCCGCGGAAGGCCCCGGGGTGGCAGGCGGCCAGCTTGTCCGGGTTGGGCGCGCTGGCCTTGCGCAGGGCCGACAGCCACTGGCTGAGCTCGTTCACGCTCTGCAGGGAGTGGGGGCGGTCAGGCGTGGGGGGCCCCGGGCACGCGCTCCGCCCGTCCCCGCGGGGCCTCACCTTGCACTGGAGGTAGGTGGTGCGCAGAGCCCCCGCGCCGTCCCGCGTCACCACTTGCATCACGTGCGGCAGCTGGAAGGCGCCCTCGTCCACGCGCTCCACGGCGCGGATGTGCGACACCGGGATGGAGGAGCGCGTCTGGGAGAGAGGACCGTCGCTGCTGGGCGCGCGGGGGGCTGGGCCGGGAGGCGCGGCCCAGGGGCAGCTCTCCTGGGGGTGTGTGCATCAGGTGCGTCCCCGGGGGTGGGGACCTTCAACTGTGTGTGTCTGTGACCTGCGTGCATGTCCCCTCGGCTGGCCCATGAGTCCCGCAGTCCTGCCCCATCGCTAAGTGACAACTTCTCTAGGCATCAGTTTCCTTCTTAACGAGAATAAGAGCAACCACTTCTATGGCACTTGGGATATGGTTCCAAGCACTTTGCATCTATCGACTTATTTCATCATCACAACACATTTCTGAGGCTGGCTCCATTCTTCTTCCCAATTTGCAGATGAGGAAACTGAGGCACAAGAAGGTAAATGACCCTCCCTCGGTCCCTCGGCTGGTGGAGCGGAATTGGAAGCCAGGGATCTGAAGTCTCGAGTGGCGCTCGGCTGGTACAGCAGTGCTCAGTGCGGGCACCCCCTCCGGGGCTGGCTGTTATTATTTGTGGATGTGTGCACTCAGAAACGGGTGCATCTTGACTGGCCGCCCCCCCGAGAACACGGATTTTACATCTTGTTACTGCTGTGTCTCCAGTGCCTAGAACACTGCGTGGTACCCAGCAGGCACTCAATAAATGTTTGATGACTGAATGAATGAGTGAATGAATGAATGCCTGGATGTGTGTGCCTGTACAGCCGGGCACGTACCCCTGAGCCAGCAGACCCAGTTTTATGTGAGTCTCATGTGTGGACGTGGGTGGGTGGTTGAGCAGTGTCCACGCGCTGCCCGTGTCCACCTCTGGGAGGGTATGTCCGGCCCACCAGGGCACATCGTGAAGGACATCTGGTGATGAGTATGTGTGGGTGTGTGGCTGTGCCACAGGGCGCAGAGGTGTGAGCAGAGCCCGGCCCGAGAGTGTGGACTTGCTAAGTTGCTACGGGGCCTTGGCCAAGTCCTTGCTCCATCCTGGGCCTCAGTTTCCCCCTGGGTACAAAGAAGCCACTCTCTGGGGAAGCCACCTCTGGAAACCCTCCCTGTGGGCTGGAGCCCCACCTGCCACTCAGGACCCTTGGAGTAGGAGAGGGTCTCCCCGCTGAGCCGGAAGTAGCGCTTCTTGAAGGCGAAGCGCGTGGCCAGGCTGCCGGGCTCGTCCTTGCGCTTCAGCAGGTAGCCTTCTCGAACAATCACCGAGGGCGGGACCAGGGCCCTGGCGGGGCCCCCAGCCTCTGGGAAACAGGGAGGGGGAACAGTGAACCCCTCCGATCCAGGCTCAGCCCGCCCTGCCGGCGTGCCCGGAGACCCCAGGATGAGGCGGGAGGACAGAGGGGACGACCTTGGACCCCACTCCTCTGCGGGGATGGACTCGCCGACCACCCAGCGGGAGCACAAGTAGGCCTTGATCCCTCTCCTCCCTGGGACCTGCAGGCAGTGGTGCGGGCGGCCAGCAGGGGGCGCCACGCCTGATGGAGTCAGTCCAGGGATCCAGCCGCCCCGGGAAGCCCAGCACCCGGGACCCCGCTGGGCCACAACTGGCGCTCCGCATTTTGACAGGTTGCTCCTAGGTGACAGGGACCCAACTATCTCATGACCTGGGCCCCACATTGTGACACGGACTCAACCCCAACTCCTCTGCTTAAAACTGTCCCGTGGCTCCATGTCACTCCAAGTCAAAGCTAAACTCCTTCCAGCTGCCTACAAAGCCCCACACGATCTGGCCCCTCACCTCTCCTTCGCTCCCCCTCATTCACTCTTCTGCACTGGCCTGCTCACTGGTGCTCTCTGTCCCCGCCTCAGGGCCTTTGCACATGCTGTTCCCGGCCTGGAATGCTCTTCCCCAGGATCCTCATGCTCTCTGTCCTCCTTCAGGTCTTTGCTCTAATGTCACCCTAATGAGGCCATTCCTGGCCACCCTATCTAAAAGTTCCACCTGCCACCCCCACCTCGACATTCCCTTCCCACCTTTATTTCTTCTTAGCACTCATCACTCCCTAACACACCGCGTGATTTGCTAATTCATCTTGTCTATAGCCTGTGGTCCCCACTAGAATAAACCTTCCGTGAGAGCAGGGGTTTCTTCTGTCCTGTTCACTGCTGTTCCCCAGGACCTGGAACAGTGTCTGTTACACAGTCGGCACATATTTGTCGATTGTGTGCAGACCGGGCCACAATCCCCACCCACCCCTCCACATTGGCTAGAGTGTCCTGGAGGGCAGGGCCCGAGCTCTGTTCATCTCTGAGACCTAGCACAGCGGGTGCCTGGAAATGTTAGTTGACTGACTAGCTGACCCAGAGGTCCGTAGTCTCAGTGCTGGGGTCGGGGAGGGGTGGGGGAAGGGCAGGCCCAGAGGGTCCAGTGGAGCGACAAGCCAGATGTGGCAGGGGCACAGGAACTCACCCTCCTCCTCATCCACGTCCACCAGCTGGTCCAGGAAGTCCCTCACGCGCGAGATGCTCTGCAGCAGGAAGGGGTGCAGGGGGGCCATCCACAGCTCCTTGCCCTGGCCCAGCTGCTGGCCCAGGTTTCCGATGCTCTGCACAGCCTGGAGCAGAGGAGCAGGGGACGCCAGGGCCACGGTCACCACGGGGGGAGGGGCCCTCTGTGACATACACCCCCGGAGCCCTCACTGTGTTCCCCCCCGAGCCCAGATCCCCCCACCCAGAACTGCCTGGTCATAGCACGCACACTCTGGAGCCCATCGGAACCTCAAAATGTGGCCCCTTTGCCAAGGATGGCCTAATTCATACTAAGGTGTAAATGACTGCTAGCCTGCTTCCCACTTTCCTCCCAGAAGGGTAGGGTTTTCATATCAAAAGAGGAAGCCGGAGGGCATGGCGAATGCCTCCACACTCAGGGCGGGAGGCTGGCGGCGGGGTTTCAGACAGGTTTCCTGGGTCTCCTGCGGGCCTGGCCTCCCGGCTCTGTTCCCACCACGCTCTTCCCTGGCTGAGAACGCCCAGGACGGGGCTCCACTGCCAGCACCTTGGCAAGCAGCAGCAGCGAGCGGCTGGTCTGGGGGTCTGCGTGCTGGTCCCGGAGGTCAAACAGCTTCGGGGTGAGGATGGCAGGCGCAAAGAACCGCAGGAAGAGAAATCCGCTGATGGCCAGGTACTTCACGTCCTGGCGAGGGGAGCAGCCCGTGAGAGGGGCCCCCACACCCACTTCCCAGCTGGGGAAACCGAGGCAGCAAGGACCATAGATTGGTGGTGCAAGCGAAGTATCAAGTGGTCTGCCAAGGGGGCTTTTCCTCTCTGGGCCTCAGTTTCTCCAACTGAAAAATGGAGTCACAATACCAATCCTGCACAATCAGATTTAGCCAAACAGCCTCAGCGTCTGCTTTGTGCCAGGCACCGTGCTAAGGGCACAGCCCTAAGAGGGAGGCACCATGATTCCCATTTTACAGATGAGGAAGCAGAGGCCCAGAGACGTCAAGTGACTTTGCCAAGGTCACACAGCGGATGAGTAGAGGAGGCAGGATTCAAACCCAGATCTATGATTTATGATAATAATAGCAACAGGCCAGATCCTCCTCCATACACTTGTATATTTAATAGTCACCGTATTACATGTCCATTTTACAGAGGAGGGAACTGAAGCCCAGAGAGGGACGGTCATCTGCCCAAGGCCACACAGCTGTAAATGGCAGAGCTGGGTTTGAACCCAGGCTGGACTGAACTCTCTGCTCGTCACCACAGTCTCCTGCATTTGTCACCAGCTCCCGTGGAGCGCTCGCTGAGTGTCCGGAACTAAGCCTGAACTATCACGTTTAATCCTCAAACAATCCCGTGGGGTGGGTACTATTATCCCCATTCTCCAGATTAGGAAACTCAGGCCCCTGAGCCTGTCCCGGGTGCACCCCAGCCCCAGCCTCTGCCCTCCACACACTGTGAAGTGGGGTGCCTGTCCGTGTGAGGCCCAGGCCCGGCCTCCCTGCAGGTAAGGCGTGTCCCTCCAGCTCCCACAGAGGGGACTCAGGAGAGGGTGGCCTCCGTCCCGGGGACATCTGGCTCCCCCGGACCGCTCCCTCCCCACCCCTCACACCCGCCCGGCTATGTTTAGCCCGAAACTGTGCTCCGTCTTTATTTAGGGGCTGGATTCACACATGAGACCATGCCCCCCTGGGTGCATGCCAACGTCCTAGGGCACCTCTGCGATGACAGCGAGCCCCGCCGGGAGCTGGTACCTGGAGCTGCCCCGAGGGAGGGTCTCTGCCCCCGCCCTGCCATCTGGAACCCTGAACTGCCCCCACGGCCACCACCCCCTCCCCCGCCACGTCCCAGGGTAAGTTTAGCCTTTGACATGAGCTCGTTAACTTCCTCCTTTCTTGAGAAGGAGGAACAGGTGTGAGAGCGGCAGAGCAAGGGGCTCCCTGGGTTCCCCCAACCCATCCTCCCTCGAGGGCCTGAGAAGGTCCCTGCTCCCTGCCCACGGCCTCGGCCTCCCGGGGGCCGGGAACTGGGGGACGCTTGGGCGTCACTGATACTGCCCCCCCCACACGGGCCAGGCTGGCTGGGGACCGGGCCCCCCTTCCCTCGCCTCCTCCCTGCCAGCTGTGTCCCACTTAGCACCTCCGCCGGCAGCCCAGGCGAGAGCCCGGCAAAGCGGGGTGTCATCAAGGCACGTCCCAGTTTGGAGGCCCGAAGCTCACTCCTCAGCGGGGGATGAGGCGGCGGGAGGGAGAGACCCCAGCTGGGAGTCCAGACGCCTAGGTCTGAGTCCACCACCCCTGGCCAAGGCCCTTCACCTCTCTGGGCCTCCGTTTCCCCATCTCTAAACAGCAAGTGAGGAGAGATGTGGCATAAATCAATTGAAAAATGAGAGATGGCACATAAAATCCAGAATGTTGGCTTAAATAAAAACAACTCTGCAGATTGGCAATCCTACATGGCAATAATTGATTGTCCGGAGCGGCCCCCTTCAGACAAGCCGTGGGAGTCCAGTTTGCCACAGTCCCCACCACTCCCTACTGCCCCACACCCAACTGCTTCGTTCATTTCCTCACCTGCCTGAACCCTGTAGCCCCTGAGTTTTCAACTTTTGTATCAATATTGGTAAAGCCCTAGCACCTGCAGGGACTTATTTCTAGACTTTATTTTGGGTATCTGCCACTGAGCACCTACTGTGTGCCAGCTCTCCCTCTCTCAGAGCTGGAATTTAAGGTGCACCTACTTTGTGCAGACTCTCTTATTTGGTGGCTATGAGCACAGATGCAGGAGCATGCCTGCCTGGATGGTGCCCATCCCAGCACCACCCCTTCCTGGCTGTGTAAATGAACCTCTCTGGCCTCAGTTTCCTCCTCTGTGAAATGAAATCATAGTGGCACCCACCTCACAGGGTGGATGTGAAGACTAGATGAGGTAATAAATACGTAAAGCACCTGAAACAAGGTGTGACCCGTGGTAAGGGCTGCATACAGTGTTAGCTGCTGTGATTATTATTATTATTATTATTAATGATTATATTACCCCTGGGGCCCGGACCCTGCCAGGAACACGGCCCCCACTTCTGCCGGGACACACAGGACTTAGCGTGGGCAGCCCCGGTTCTGTCCCACCTCTGCCCTGACCCCGTGAGACCCCGGACAAGCGACTGCCCCTCCCCAGCCTCGGTCTCCCGGCGGCCCACCTCGTGCTCCGCCTGGGGGAAGCGCTGCTCCACGCGCCGGCGCAGCTCCTTGAAGGCGAGGCGCATGGCAGGCGGGCAGCGCCCCACGGAGCCCACGATGGCGTCCACGATGGGCCCCAGGTAGCCGGTCAGCAGCCCCAGGCTGGCCTCGCGCACGTGCTCCTCCGAGGGCGCGCCCTTGAAGGAGATTCTCCTGGGGAGGACGCGGAGCGGCTCGGCCTCGGAGCCCAGCATCGGCCCCTCAAACCTCCCCGGCCCCCGCTGAGCTCAGAGAGCCCCGCCTGCCCATCCGCCAACATCCTCCCCTCCCACCATTCCCACCCGGCTTCCCGGATGCTTCAACACACTGAGCTCAGAGCCTCCGTACACGCTGTTCCCTCTGTCTGGGATACTCTTGCCCCCACGTTCAGCTTAAACGTCACCTCCTCAAAGAGGCCGTCCCTTCCCCATCGCACGTCATCATGGACTCTGGTTCAGTGCATTTTCAGCATGGACATGCCAGACACACGCTCCCACCTCAGGGCCTTTGCACATGCTGTTCCCCCTGCCTGGAACACTATTCCACCAGATCTGCACACAACTCCCTCCCTCACCTCCTTCAAGTCTCTGCTTCATCTGGTCTTCACATCCACCCTGTGAGGTGGGTGCCACTATGATTCCATTTCACAGAGGAGGAAACTGAGGCCAGAGAGGTTCAGCCTCGTCTGTGAGGCTGTCCCTGTGGCCACACTGTGGAATGTCACAAGCCCTCCTCTGCTCCTGGCACCTCCCGACCCTCCCCTGCTTTGTCTTCCTTGTTCCACTGATCACCTGCAACAGCCTTCCTCTTCAGTTTATTATCTGTCTCCCCCCAGAAGAGGTATTCCTGTCCATTTATTCCTTGCTGTGAACAGCGTTCAGCCAGTGCCCAGCACAGTGGGTCCTCAACACTTGTTCTGTTGAGTGGATGGTGGACTAGCACTCTCCCATCTGCAGCTGTCCTGTTCCTTTCTTTCTTGTTCCCATACAGGTGTAGGGTCCATTTTGCCCACCCTCAGACTGCAGACTCCACGGAAGCCAGGCTGGGGTTCTCGGCACCCCTGTGTCCTGGACCCAGTGAGCTAAGCCCTGAACTAGTTGTCTCTGGCCTCGTGTCATTTAATCCTGATGGATTAAACCCAATGGATTAAGAATCCTGATTGTTCCCACTTAACAGATGAGGAGACTGAGGCTCAGAGGGATTCCCCTTGCAAATAGGTGGCCGAGTGAAGATTAGAACTCAGGACTGCCAGCTCCAGAGTCTGCCTGCCACCCTGCCCTGCCCAGGTCCCCGGATGCCCCTGCTCCTTGCAGACACCACGGAGTCTCTCCATCCTCGCCAGACGTGCTGGGAGTTTCACAGACGGACTCCGCCCTGCTGCTCAGGCCTGGGTCCAAATCTCCGCGTTGCGACTTCCCAGCTGTGCAACCTGAGGCGGGCGACCCCCCTCCCGGAGGCTCGGTTTCCTCGTCTGTAGAAAGGGGTCCTGAAGCCCGCCTCCAGAGTGGTCGGGAGGTGTGGGCAGCACTGCTGGGCAGGGCCCAACGTGAAGCAAGACTCTCTCCTGTCCCCACCACGGGCCCTGAGGGACTGCCCACTGCCCAGCTGCCGGCTCTGATGGCCTGGTGGGAACAAGCCCGCCCGCCCCGGCTGGAGGGGAAGGTCCTGGAAAGAGAGGAGGATCCCAGGAGCATGGAGTGACCCCCACACTCCCTCCCCGTCTCCGAGTGCTCCAGGATCCCACCTCCGCACACAGGCCGCCGCCCGCCGGCAGTGGCAGAGCTGGGGTCTAGGCCCAGGGAGCTCGGGGTCAGACCCTGCCCGCAACCTCTACAGCGCGCGGCCCGAGGAGCGCGGGGCTCCCGGGGAGGCTGGGAGGCGGAACGCGGGCTCCCGAGCAGCCGGCCCCAGGGGCTGGTAGAGGCGCGGGCCCAGCCCGACAGGCTCCGGGTGGGCAAGGGGGCGGTCGGGGCTCAGGGCGCACCCCAGGCTTCGCTCACCTGGCGCGGCTCAGGTCCATCTTGCAGGGGTCCAGCTCCATGTACTTCTTCTCCTCGAAGACGCGGTGCACCACCGGCCTCAGGACCGCGTGCAAGTAGGGCATGCCCACGAGCTGGGGGCGGGGCAGCACAGGGGCGGCGCTGGGGCCCGGCCGGCACCCGCACCCCGGCTCAGCTACCCAGCGCCCTGCGGCCAGCCAAGCTCTGGGGTCCGGGCGAGCACTGGGAAGGGAGTCCCCTTGCGGAAGCTGCCGCCAGGCCACACCGGGCCCTCGCCTCCTCACCTTCATAAACTGTTCCATTGACTTCGATGCCAGGGAGTTAGAACGGAAGAGGGTGTTGGGGTCGGCTGGGAGGACAGAGGGAAGTGTTTGCTGGGATCTGGGGGGCTGGATCCACCTCACCCCACCCACCCAAGGTGATGGTTCTTCCAGCCTCAGGAATCGGGGAGACCTGCCACATCGACTCTGTTCACGGTCCAGAGGCCCAGAGTGGTTAAGCAAGCTGCCTAAGGTCACACAGCTCACGAGCAGCAAAACCAGGGCCTGAACCAGGACTGCGCTCCAGCTGGCTGCGTGCACGGCACAGGGACCCCCGAACACACACACCCATTCCTCCCCGAGAGACCCTTCTGCAGACCCACCCTGGGGGAGTGATGCACGGGGGTCACGCGGGCAACTCACTGGTCCGCGCCACCTCACGCCGGGTGAGATAGTCCAGGAAGGGCCCGGCCAGGCCCCGGCCGAGAAACAGCTTCACCAGCTTGGTGGCGAGGTCCTGGCGGCAGTCCCCGGAGGCCAGCTCCTCCAGCACGGCCAGGGGGCTGGCGGCATCCTCCTGGGCAAGGACGGGAGGCTGGAGACGTGGCCCGGGGCCCTGGGACCCCCAGATGGGGCTGCCTGAGGCGGAAGGAGGCGGTGACCCAGACCCCCTCACCCCCGGCAGGAGTGCCCGTCTGCCGCACCCACCTCCGCCGGGCCCAGCACGGACTCCACGAGCAGCGCCGTGAGCGGCCGGTAGCACGGGGAGGGCAGGACGCGGTCCTCCAGGAGGCGCACCTTCAGCCGCAGGGCGCCCAGGCTGCCCCTGCGGGCAGAGCACAGGGGAAGGGACGGAAGGACGTGAGGGCAGGCGTGGGCAGCCAAGACAGCCGGAGGGACACAGTCAGGGGCGTGGATATTCGCAAGCCAGGACAGGTGTGGGCAGGTGTGAACAGGTGTGGGCAGGTGTGAACAGGTGTGGGCAGGTGTGAACAGATATTGACAGGTACAAACAGGAACAGACAAGTGCAGACAGTGTAAACAGATATGGCCAGTGTAAACCAATGAGTACAGGGACCGACAGTGTGGACAGGTGTGGACAGCTGTGAAAAGACCCAAGGTTCTGAACACACACCAAGTGTGAACTGACACGCTCGCAGGGGGATGGGTATCAGGCCAACCATTCAGAGACACGTAAACACACACTGTGGGCCACTCAGCAAACATTTGTGAAATGAAGAAAGGCAGGCACACGGTGACAGCTCGTGGGCTGACGTGGGCACCGGTGAGGACCCGCCCACAAGCTGAAGATGGTACCAGCCTGGCCCCCTCCCTCCGCACCCGCATTTACCCAGAATCCTCGTCGGCTCTGGGGAAGGGCAGCAGGCGGAACCAGCCATTGGGCGGGTTCTGCTGCAGGACCTGCGGGGGGAACTCCACCTGCGGGGGGACACGCGGACCCTCAGCCGAGCCCCGCCCTGCTGGGCCCAGGCCCCACCTGGCCCTGGAAGAGGAGCTCAGACCACCCAGGCACAGGGCCGGCACAGCCTGCCAGGGGCCACCTCTTCTCCCCACCACAGCAGCAGCGACGCCCCCGCCCCCACCCCAAATTACGAGCTCCTGCCAGGGCACGGGGGACCTCGGGGGAACACTTCATCCACAGCTGCGGAAACTGAGGCTCAGGGAGGTGGAGTGACTTTCCCCAGGTCACACAGCTGCTAGAGACAGCATGTCTGGACTGAGCATATCTTCAGCTCTCTTTAGGGACACAAATTGCACCCATCAAAAGCCTTACAGACAGTCCAAAGGCCCCGAGCCCCACCCCCTGTCTTTTTAAATAACTTTATAGAGAGAAAAGTTGTATCCCATTCAACTCACCTATTTAAGGTGTATAATCCAATGGTTTTTAGTATATTCTCAGAGTCGTGCAACCATCACCACTGATGTCAGAACATTTTCTATCAGCCCCCGCAAAAAGCCTGCTGCACCCATTAGCAGTCGCTCCCCATCCCCCACCCCCACCCCCGCCCCCGGCAACCACTCATCTACGTTCTGTCTCTATGGATTCGCCTATTCGGGACATTTCATATAAACAGAATCACACATTTGTGGCCGTTCGTGTCTGGCTTCTTTCACTTAGCGTGTTTTCAAGGTTCATCCATGTCAAAGCATGTGTCAACGCTTTGGTCATTTTTATGGCTGAATAATATTCCACTGCATGGATGGACCACATTGTGTTGATCCGTCCATCTGCTGGTGGACATTTGGGTTGTTTCCACGTTGGACTATTACGAACAATGCTGCCATGAACATCCGTGTACTGGTTTCCACGGGTCCACGTGTTTTCACCTCTCCCAGGTACGCGCCTATGTAGGTACATGAACTGCTGGGTCACGTGGTAACTCTATCTTTAACCGTCTGAGGACCTGCCAGCCCGTTGTCCATAGGAGGCGCAGCATTTTACACTCCCACCAGCGGTGCACGACCCGGCCTCCCTCTTATCTGCTCTGATCTTCCCTCCTTTTAAAAACTGTCAGCCCTGAGTATCCATCCACTACGACTGCGAGGTGGGAACAGTCACACCCATTGTACAGACGGGGAAACTGAGGTTCCAAGAGAAGCCAGTTGAGCCCAGTGCTTCCAGGGGCAGGAGTTAAGGGCTTAGATCCTGGAGTCAGAGAGACCGGAACTCAAATCCTGGCTCTGCCCTCTCTTAGTCATGTGACCGTGGGAGAGACACTTAACCTTTCTGAACCTCAGTGTCCCCATCTGTAAAATGGGGACGACAACAGTCCCAGCCTCACGGGGTGGCCATGAGGGTTACATAAATGAGGTTGTGCTGGAGAAGCACTCTGCACAGGGCCAGCGCTCCCTCCCAGAATAAGAATCGGGCCACCCTGTGACCTGGGGCAGGTCCCTGCACCCTGAGGGCCTCAGTCTCCTCGCCCACAGTGGGGCAACGGGCCTCCACCACCCAGGCCGCCTTCACATCAACCCTCCCGAGCCCAGGATGCCCAGCCACGCTCCCTCTTCCCTCCCACTTGGGGGCAGTGGGGAGCCACAGAGGGTGTCGGGGGGTGCTCACCATGCCCAAGAAGTCATTCTTGCCCACCATGTCCCAGTCCCAGAGCTCCACCCGCAGCGGGGACGGGGCCCCGGGCGTCTCCCGCAGCTCCAGCACCTCGTCCCAGCGCGGGAAGCGAGTCCTCTTGATGGTCTGGGGAGGAGGGGGTGGGGGAGACGGCTGATGGGGACCCCCACCGCCAATGCCCCCCTCCTCCCCGCTCCACCCCACCACTCACCGCAGTCTCCAAGCTCTGGCTGCCCCAAAACACGCGTGCGAATGGGTCAGACGTGCCGGAGATGTCTCGGGGGGCCAGGTCCCTGGGGACAGATGAGGAAAGGAGTAGGGGACACGGGACCCTTGAGGACCGAGACCCCAGCTGGAAAGGGGGTTCAGGGGAGACCACTCAGAACTCAATGAGGAGCACCCCTCACCGTGCCCATCCAAACCCGGCATCTTCCTGTGATTAACACCATCCTATGAGGAGGCACCACTATGCCCCTATTTCCCGGATGAGGAAACTGAGGCACAGACAGGTCAAGTCCTGCATCACAAAGCCTAGGAGGTGAAGGTGCAGGGGGAAGAGGGAGGGAGCCTCAGTTTCCCTGGAGCCCCTGGATGGGAGATGAGATGCCAGGGTTCAAAGCCTGGCTCTGCCATTCACTGGCTGGGTGACACTGGGAACCTCGGTTTCCTCGTCCAGCAAATGGGAGTAATAACAGACCAACCTCACAGGGCCAAGGGTTAAACGAGATGGAGCGTGGTGAGTGCTCAGCTCACTGATTCATTCAACAAACACTCATGCCCACACCCTGCCTAGGACCCAAGAAAAGGCATGAGGCAGAGACCCCCTGCCTCTGGTTGCCATGACAACCCAGTCAGGCTCCCCATCCCTCCTTCCTGAGGTCCCCCAAATCCAGGGACATCTCCCCCCGCCCCAGGGGCTGCTTGCTTCTTCCTGCTGCTCCTCTCCCACCCCTGCTCAGCATCCAAAGCCTTCCTCGGTTTCCTAGGAGCCAGCCAGTTGCTAAGCGACAGCAATCGGTCCCTCTCCTGCTTACAAGGATCCTGCACAGCCTTGTGGCTGGGGAGGCGGCCATGGGCACAACGAGACGAGGAGGAGCCCCCGCCCCACGCTGAGTCCTTCTGCCTGTCCTCTACCCCCTGGTACTCCATCCGGACTCCAGGGAGCCCCAGCTGGGGGCAGAAATCTGGAGGTGGTGGGAGAGGCACAGAGAGGGCAAGAAAGGGCCTTAAAGTCACACAGCAAACTAGAAATAGAGATCTTCCCCAGCCGGGGCGAGAATTGGCCTACAAGTGAGGGTTGGGGGAGTAAGGTGTGAAAAAGAGGCAGAAAGACAAGATGGGAGATGAGAAGGAAAGAGGGTGGAAGTATTTAAGGAAGCAGAATGATGGGGGTGCTGAGGAAGAGGGAAGGGGAGTGGAGAGTGATAACACGCAGGAGGGAAGACGGATATCCCATGAGCTCGGGCCACCGGCGGGTCATTGTGGGTTCTGCTGGTCCTGCATCTCTCTCCCTTCTGATGTTTCTTTGGGACAGGATCTACCCTTCCCTCACTCCCAGCCCACGTGACTTAGGTGGACTGATCCCTCCCTCCACTCCAGGAATGGGCTTGCGACTCAGGCCTGACCCATCAGAGTCAGTTCAGAGATGGGGATGTGCCCCAGAGTGAGCCAATAAGAATTAGTCCCAGGACATTGGTTGGAAATGGTGAGAGAGAGTTCTTTGTCAGCTGGAGCTGCCAAGTTGGTAGGACACCATTGTGGGGCTGCTGGGGTCCTCTTTGCCCCAACCTGGGGAGAGACTGTCTGAGATGGAAGCTAACGTGAAAGACAGCTGAACAATCTGTATCTACAGATTTCTGGTATCACTGTTTGAGCACCTGGATCCAGCCATACCTGAAGCTACATGTCATTCATCTGAGCCAATCTGCTTAAGCCGGTATGAACTGGGTGTCCACCACTTATAACTTGATTAATACACCTCCACATTCATCTGTCTGGCCATCCTGAGTGTCTGACCTTTGCTTACTGATCCCTGGGGACCCAATAAGGATTTTGCTTGTGTTTTGACACCAGAAACTTGAGACCCAGTGAGCTTGGACTGTTTGCATACAAGGGATCCTGGTTGTGAGCCCAGAAGTGCCCCAGGAGTGAGGTGGTCCCAAGGCCAAGGCAGCTGGGCGTACCCAGTGGATTCCTGTGCATTCTCAGACCACCCCCACAGTGCCCCCATCATGATCATACCTGGCCTGGAGCACGTGACAGCGAAGACAGCGGCCCAGCACATCCTCCAGCATCTGCACGGCCAGGCAGATCTCCCCCTGCACCTCCGCATCCGGGTCCACGCGGCTCAGGTTGATCCAGCTATCAATCCCTAGAGGCCACAGGCGCTAACGTTTATTAAGCACCTACCATGTACAAGGCACTGTGTTAACTTAAAAGTTCAATTAACAGGAAAAACGTAAGCCATGGACTTCTCGTGTCAGCCTTCTGACGTCAGTGCTGTAATTACCGCCACTTGCAGACGAGGAGCATGAGGCACAGCAGGCAGGAGCTTTGCCCATGATCCCACTCGTAAATGGCGGAGCTAGATTTGAACGCAGCCGGAGAGTTCTGGTGCCACCGCCCTTCATGCTGATGTATAAAGCCCTCCACCAGTTAGTCCCAACAGACTCTCCCTTCAAAAACATCTTGGGCCTTCCTATCTCTGAGCCTCCGTCCAGACCATTCTCCCGGCCCAAATCAGTCAAGTCAACCTCATTCTCACCCTCTCCCTTTCTTTCTTCATTTCTCTCTACACTGCAATTATTGGGAAGTCATTTCAGCCTAATAATCGATCTTGTGTCAATGGTCTATCTTTTCTAATTGTAAGGACAATGTCTCTCTACAGTTTCACGACAATGTGTCTAAGGAAGGATGTTTGTTTACCTGCTTAGTACAGGTTACGCTTCTTCTACTTATGGAATCATGTCCTTCCTCGAGTTCTGGAAAACTCCAGATCATCAATTATTTTATCATTTCCTTTCCCCAATTTTTATATTATTATTTCCACTCCCCATTTTTTTTCTATTCGCTCCTTCTAAGACTCCAATTAAGCGGATGTTAGACCTTCTCGGTTATTTTCTAGGTCTCTGAACTTCTCTTTTTTATTTGCCTTCATGTTTGTCTGGGCTAAAGTCTAAATATTTCTTCAGATCTCTCTTCCAGTACTCTAATTCTCACTTCAGCTCTGAGGGATCTGCTGTTGAACTCAGTCATGTGATTTTTAATTTCAACAATTGTGCTTTTTATCTTTAAAAGCTTGATTTGGTTCTTTTTCTAGTCTGTTTATTTTCTAATGTATTGCTTTAATTTATTGTGGTTATTGCAGGCTCTTTCTGGTGATTCTATTTTTTATTTATTTAAATATATAGTTTTTAAATTCTGTACATCACAATTACAAGATCTCAAGTCTTTGTGGGTCTAAATCTGATGGTTATTGTTTCCACCGGTCTTGCTCATGGTGGCCATTTCCCTGAGTGTGTGGTGATCTTTGATTGCGAATTCATGTTTGTTTGAGCTCCCTCTGTGGGAAACCTAACACGAGGATGCTCATCCCCGGAGAAAAGTGGTGGTTGCTTATTCTGGGGGTCTCGGCCCCAGTAACACCTGCCTTGCCCCTGGCCCAAGATTTAGCCTCTTCATTGACTGCAGATTTGATATTGACCTTTACTTTCGTGGAAATCCTCCCTTACTGCCTTGCTATGGCTCACTCCTCCCTGTTAGGTTTTGGCTCGTGATTAGGGATGGAGGGGAGACTGAGGGTTCTTCCTTCTTTACAGCAAGTCCACCAATGCATGAGGATCCTGTCTAATTCAGGATCTCATTGTTAGCTGGAAGGAGAGCCCTTCTGAGGACCTAGTCCCCCTGCTGCCCTAACTGTAAGCTCCATCTCACCTCTCTCTGTCTCCTCTGCTACACGCAAGTCCAGGATGCCATCAGCTTTCTCTGAATTATTGCCATAGACTCCCAATTGATCCCCCACATCTACCCAGTATCCACAAAGCAATAAGGGAACTTCTGAAAATGCATCTAATCTCTCCTGTCACTCCATCCTCTGATGATATGGCTCCACTCTCTTCACTGTCTTGCTCAAGAACCATCAATGGCTCCCCAGTGCCTCCACAAGAAAGTCCAGACTCTGGCCTGGCACCTAGGGCCCTCTCCAGCAACCCCACCAAGTGCTCCATCTGGCCTGGCCTGTGCCTGATCCTAGAAGAGAATCCATGGAGAGACATCTTAGCATCTTTGCCAAAACACCTTTAAGGACCAACTCATTCCCCTTCTTCCAGGAAGTCTTCCTTGACTACACTAGCCCTCACTGCCCTCTTCTCCTCATCCACTGTCATGCCAGTGACGTTCCACATACCTCCACCCCCACATTTCTGTCCTGTTTAAAAAATAAAAAGCACCCACATGCAGACACATGACAGTTTCATTTTTTCTTCCTCCCTGTTCTGTGTGATTGTGTTTTGTTTTTCTATCTGGCCCATGAGCTCCTTGAAGCTAGGCCCCATACTCCAGTCATTTAATTCCAGCCCCGTGGGTGGATGTTGGAGGCACGTTGGGTACAGCCCAGGGGATGGGTTAAGAACACAGATGTTGGAGGTGGGCACAGCCTGGGCTCGGTTCCCACCTCTACAGCTTCCAGGAGGGGCAAGTCACCTTGCCTCTCCCAGCCTCACTGCCCATCAGCCATAAATTCGAGACCATTCTGGCATGCACTTCCCTTGGTGTTGTTGGGACTAGATGTAAAGTGCTTATCATCATGCCTGGCACACAGTAAGCCCTCATTAAATAGAAACAATGATTATGATGATTAGCACATAGTAGGATTTCAACTAATTCCCACTGAAGAAAAAATACATTATTCAATAAATGATGTTGAGAAAATTAGTAGTCATCCAGACAAAAAGTAATAAAGTTCAATCCCTACCCCATACCTTGGATCTGGATAAATTCTAAATATATCAAAGACTTAAATGTAAAAAAGACGAAACAAACTGTTGCTGGAAGGAATTGTGTAAAAAAAATTTCTTAGTCTTAGAATTGGAAAGGCCCTTTTAGGTATCACAGCAAATCGAGAGCCAAAAAAAAACGATGAAGTTGACTACAGAAAAGGAAAGAAATTTTATACATGGAAAAAATTATAAGCAAAGTCAAAATATAAGCCACAAAGGGAGAAAAAATATTTGCAGCTAATGTGACAAAGAGCTCTAATATGGAAAGAGCTCCTACAAATCAATAAGAAAAGGCACACAACCCAGTGGGCGGGAATGCACACACAATATGAATAGACAATAGACAAAAAGGAAATAAAGTGACTCTTAAATATATAAAAAGGTTTTCAATCTCACTCATAGAGAAATGCAAACTAACCTACACCAAGAGGCAATTTTTTACCTATCAGATACAAGATCAAAAACTTTGGTAACTGTTGGCAAGGGTACAGGGTGGGTAAATGGCTACGTCCTCCATGAAGGGTAATTTAGCAATATCTGTCAAACGTGAGTACTCTTTGAGCCAGCAAATCAACCTCTGGGAATTTATCAGGTCGATTGATAAAACTTGCATACGTGTGAAACCACGTTTGTACAAGGCTATTCACTGCAGCATTGTTTGAACTAGGAAAGACTGTAAACAATCCCAGTGCCCATCTGGGATTTTGCCCAGTTCCACTAGGGAACTGGGCAAATCGGTGATGGCACATCCACACAATGGAGCGCCATGAAGTCGTAGGAAGATCAGAGGATGGGGAAGCTCTCAAGGCACCGATACGGAAAGACCTCAGGGATACACGGTGAAGTGAAGACAAGGCACAGAACAGTGAGCGTAACGGGCTATTATCCTATAAGCAGAGAACAAAACACACAGGGCGCAGTGTTACGAGCGCAGACCAGAGCCAGACGACCTCGGTTCCAATCCTAGCCATCCCACTCCACAACTCTGTGATCTCGGGCAAGTCATGGAACCCCTGTGCCTCAGTCTGTTTCCCTATAGAGCGGGCACATAAGAGTACCTGCCTCATGGGGTTATTACTGTAGTCAAGTGAGTCCATACATGTAAAGCATTTAGAAAGTGCTCAGCATACAGCAGGCACTATATAAGTGCTTGCTGCTATTACTATTGTTACCGGCTTATATATGTTTGAAACACCTCCAGAAGAGAGGCACATCCAAGAAACTGACAACAGGGGATGAGGACAGAGCCGCTGGGGTAAGAGAGAGGTTCACTGCAATTTTGGATAGTGAATGATGTAAATGAACGAACTGCTCAACAAATGAGCGACATTAAAATTAACCTAAATTAAAGACAACTGAAATAATTGCCTGCTGAAGACTCTGGGCTTCCCGGCGCCGCCCGCTACGCCCCTGCAAACGCCCACTCTGCACACGGCCGCCCTCCTCCCTCCGCCCTCGCCCACCTCGGGGGTCGGCTGCAATCTCGTCCCTGCTCAGCGACACCTTGCCGATGACGTCGTCGTGCCTGCGGAAAGGCGGGCGGGGGAGGGTGCAGTTAGGGGCTGTGACCCTGGAGTAGCCAGGGCTGGGGGACGGGTACGGTGCCTCGGGGCTTCCCGCCGCCCCTCAGGCGCCCGGCCTGGGTCCCCTGCACACTCACCCCACCGTATCCTCGTCCAGCACGTAGAAGGCCAGCTGGTGGAAGTCCAGGGGCAGGTGCACGGTGTACTCCTCCCCCCAGAAGGGGCTCAGGCTCCGCCAGACGGTCGCTGTCCTGCAAAGGGGGCACAGGGGGCGGGGGACTTGGGCCACACAGGCGGCAGGCACCTGGGGACCCAGACACACACACGCGCGCGCGCACACACACACACACACACACACTCCCAGGGGGATACACACTGAAACACTCAGCTACACCAAGGAAGCCAGAGACACAAAGAAACGCATTCACACACACAGATACACCTATGCATCCTCAGAAATTTCTAGAAATACACATCTATGTGTTTCTACATACAGACACCTGCAGATACACACAGAGAAAACAGACACAGACACACAGACAAAAGAAATGCCCAGAACACGGAGACACACACAGAGACCCACAGACACACGCTCACATACATACAGTGATACACACAGATATGCACACACAACCGCACAAACACACAGTAACTGAGAGCACACACAATTCCATTCATTCACTCCATAAACACTCACCTCCTCTGTGTGCCAAGCCTGTGGGCTCTGGGGAATCAGAGGAAGAGGCGCCAAGGTCCCTGCCCCCACAAAGCCCCCTCAGCGGGCAGGTGCCCTCTCCTGAGCTCTTATGACACAGTGAGAGAAGTCTGCGATTGGGGTTAGCTCAGGGGCACCTGGTTGGGTCTGGGGGTAGGGTAGGAGTGGTCAGGAAACGCTTCCTACAGGAGCTAGTCAGGCAAAGGGGGAAGAGAGGATGAGGACAAAGTATCCCAGATGAGTGGAACAGCACGTGCAAAGGCCCTGAGGCAAGAACGAGCTTGGTGAGTTTGAGGAACAGGAAGGTGCTACGTGGGAAAGCGGACAGTGTGAGCGGCCAGAGCACTCAGTAAGCAAGGGGGACCCACAGGAGGATGGGCCCCAAGGCAAGCCCAGAACCAGACACACACGTAGAGCATCTTCACCCTCACACCCTGCACACGCACTTCCCTTTACCCAACAGGGAATAAATTACCTACTTTGCCCAGTGAAGACACACCCAAATTTATGGCTGCAAAATCTGGTTCACACACCTGCCCCTCCCTTCCTCCTCCTCCCTTTCACCACACTCTGCCCTGACAGAGTGTGACCATGCACACACACACACCCTCACACACACACGCACACACTCTGCCCCCTATCGCAGCCCAGGGCAGCACCATCAGATGGACCCTCCTTCCCAAACGCCTTCTTCCCCCTGCCCTGGCCTTTTCCCAGCTGCAAGTCCCTCAGGCCCCCCAGCCCCTGAGCTGGGAGGCTCCTCAGAGCCCAGAGAGGGGAGACAGCAGCCTAGAGACACACAGAAAACCAAACTGCAGGTTTGGCAGCGGTATCACAGAATGCGGTAAACGGACAGCAGGAGGACAGAGAGAAGGGTGGAGGGGGTCAGCTGGGGTGCCGCAGGCTGACACTCCCCCATGCGGGCTCCTCGCCCCCCAGCTCCCAGCCCATCTGGACCAGAACCGGCGCCAGGAGCATCCTGAATCCTGCCGTCTCCATAGGAACGGAGGCTCAGCTGCCCGCCCACCCGCACCTCTCAGGCCTTCGGGCCAGAGCTGTCCCTCGGCCTGCGGGGGTGGGAGCCGAGCACAGCCAGCCCCATGTCCCCCCGAGACTCACACACCAAACATCCTCACATCCTCACGTATGCTCACACCGGCGCCTGTGCACCCAAATACGCAGGCACTGGGGCACACATGTGTGACCAGAGCAGCCCAGCTGCACACGCATACACACACACACATACACACGTACACAGCAAGAGCCTGTGAGCCTGCACACCCACAGGACACACATATGCAGTCACAGGCGTTCACACCAGCCCTCCAACCCCCCCCACACACACTCACAAGCAGGCCCAGCTGGGCGCACGCGCGCGCGAACACACACACACACACACACACGCCGGTGCCCGCAGCACCCAGCAGGCCCGGAACCAGCAGCCCAGCCAAGCGTGAGATGCCCGTCCCCAGGGGGGCCCCCGTGGGAGGCACAGGCTGGCAGCGCTGAGTCAGCCCCTGGGAGCCGCAGGGACGTCACCAGGTCCAGGGGAAGGTGTCGGCCAGTTGGTGGGGCTGCATGGAGAGAGGGGCCCGCAGCCCCTGCTGTCCGGCCCAAGGCCAGGGCACAGGCACCCACCATCACGCAGCACATCCACCACGGGGTGAGCATCGCCCCCCCTTTCCATGTGAATTCTTGTGCCTGGGCTCCTAGGTCCAGAAGGAGCCCTCCCCTCCCCCTGCCCTGCCCCTCCACCCCAGGCCTGGCCTCCCCCCTCCTCACCTGGCCACCACTTCGTCGTCCACCTTCACTATGCAGTAGGGGTCACTGCTCCCAGACCTGCGGGAGGAGGGGGGGGAGGGGGTCTGAGAGGCAGCCTTGGGTGGGGTTCAATCCACCTCCACTACACAGAGTGGGGGAGACTGAGGCCCAGGGTCACACGGCGAGTCCCACGAAAAGGCAGGACCAGCTGACGTCACAGCTGCACAGCCCACCCCCCACGTGCCTGACCCCCCACCCATGGGCTCCCTGCACGTCCACCCTAGAAACAGAACATGGGGGCACGAAGCCGGAAAGTTCAGAGTCCCGACACCAGGAAGCCTGAAGGAACCATCAAGAGTGCGTGCTGGGGACTCATCCCTGGGGTGGTGGCTGGTGTCCCTGGTGTCACCACCTGCCGGCTGCAGGACCCTGGCAAGTCCCCTCCCCGCTGTGGGCCTCAGTGTCTCTGCTCCACGAGTCGGGTATAATCTGAACACACACACCCCCAGGGCGGCTGGAGGAACTAAAGGGGACACTGCGTGGGAGGACGCTCCCCAGAGCCCTCCCCACAGGTGCCTGAAAGCCACCCTGGGGGTGAGCACTGCCCTCTCCAGCTCGTAATTTCAGTGGGAGTCTCCCTGGGAGGGGGCTCCCCATGGCTCAGCCTTGAGGGATGGCCCTCAGCAGACTCGCCCACCACTGCAGGCCCAGACCAGAGCGCCCAGACCTCAAAACCCAACCAACAGGAGAGATGTGCTGCATTCCCCTGAGCAGCCAGGAGCCACCGGCCAACCAACACCAGCTCCATCCCCCCTTCATAATAAGAGTCTCCAGTCCATCCCAAGCTGTTGGGCAAGGTCCCTCCCCCGCTCCCATCTGTTCCCCCAGTCCCACCACACAGGCCTCCTTTGTCTTCCACCAAGCTCAGGCCACCCTCAGGGCCTTTGCACTGTTCCATCCACCTAAGACACTCTGTCCCTGATCTCGTCATGGCTGTCATTCAAACCTCAGACCCAAAGTCACCTCCTCAGAGAGGCCATTCCTGACCTCCACTGTCCTGTGTGCAATTGGCCTCCGATCCCTCTGAGCCCCTGGAATCAGCTTGTTTCTCTCTGTGTTTACTGTCTGTCTCCCGGCTCCCCGAAACTTCGGAACTGCGAGCTCCAGGGGGGGACCTGTATCCCCCGCCCCACCCCCGCCCGGCAGAGAAGGATTGGAACCCAGGTCTCCGGGGCTCAGCACACATGCGCAGAACCAAGGCCGCCTACACCCCGGCTCACGATCCCTCCCCCAATGGCTCCTCCCTCGACGCCCGGCCCCCACCCTCTCTCCCCGCCACCTCCTCTCGGTCCAGTTTGTCACAGAGCCACAAATGCCTCAGGGACTCCGGGGAAGAGGCACGCCGGCACCAGGAGCGGGGTCCAACCTGAGCTTTGTCTGCAGCCTGGGCCCTCCCCGGGCCTCAGTTTCCTCTCTGGACGCCTTCCCTCACTGCCTCTGCTGGATGCCCCAGGCCTCCCTCTCCCCCTCTGGCCTCCATCCTGGAACACCTCAGGCTGGGCAGTGTCCTGTGTCCACGAGTTCCTCTGTGGGTTCCATCTCTGAACGCCCTTCTGTGCAGCTGCCTAGGCCTCAGTTTCCCCTTCTGAATCTATCCCAAACCCACTGGGCTGAGTAACCCCAGGAGCCTCAGTTTCCCCACCTGGCTCCGCCCCCTAGATGCCTGTGGCTGGGTAACCCCCTATATCTCATTTCTCCCTCTGGGTTCTCCATCCCTGAGCCCCCATTCCTCAGTTTCCCCAACTGCAGATGTGGGGGCAGACTGGCTGGGGTCCCCCTGGCGAAGGGCTGGGAGACACGCCCCCTCCCGTCCCTCGGCCTGACCCCGGGCCCTCCTGGGAGCCGAGCTCACACGTCAACCAGGGCTCTGACGCACAGGGGCCTTATCAGGCTCCTATCAGCTACGGGCAGCGGTGGCCGGGGCGCCGAGCCTCCAGACCCTCCATCTCTCCGGACCCTCGGCCTCTCCCACGGCCCCTGCCCCACCTCAGGCGTGGGAAAAGCAGGCCCCTCGGCCGCTGCCTGCCCAGTCTGGTTTGTGCATGAGAGCAGTCAGGGTTCAAATCCCAGCTGTGGGAACTTGGGCAAGTGACTTTGCCTCTCTGGGCCTCAGTTTCCCCATTTGTGAAGTGGAAGTGCTACTAGGACCACAGAAAGTGTTAAGCACAGCACCTGGCTCACAGTAAGCCCTGGATGCCTTACAGCTGCTCTTATTAATGACAGTAATATTAATTACTGACAGTAATTAATTAATTAATGTAATTAAGTAATTAATTAATTAAGTAATATTAATTAATGACAGTAACTCTAAGATGACAGGCTGAGGCGTCCTCCAGAGCCAGGTCAGACCCCCCTCAAACATGGGGAGGCTTCAGGAAGAATCCGGGCCCTTTCCTTTAGGAGAGGAGAGAGAGAACACGCCCCATGTAAGAGCCCGCATGGGCATGGATACCCCAGCAAGCTCTGAGGAGAGCCGCTCTGAGGAAGAGAGGACAGCTAGGGAAACTGAGGCAGGGTCACTGGCTCCCCAACGGGGGCTTAGCAACTCCTTCCTCCCCTTGCTCTGGGGCGTGGAGAGCTCACCTTGGCCCGGGAACTTGGAGGAGGAGGGGTCAAGAGACACAGGCAGCAGGCACGACTCGGCTCCGTCCCCAGCAGAGGCAGGAGCCCCAAGAGCGGGGTCCGGGTCCAGGGAGGGCACCTGCCGCTCCCTCACAGCCCTCACCCAGGGCTGGTGGCGGGACCAGAGCACAGCAAGATGGAGCCCGGTCTCTGGAAGGGACCCCTCAGCCCTCCAGCAGCTGCCAGGCCCCCACTCCGGGCCTCATTGCCCTGACAGTTCCGGACTCTCTAATTCTCGGGGGCTGTGAGAGGGCATCTCAGAAAGAGGGCGGCGGGGGCTTGTCCAGAGGGTGCATGCGCACAGCAGCTCTGCTCTTTATTTCAGGTGCATGTTTATTTGGGGTAGCTGATGAGGATGGGGGGCTAAAACTGCTCTAAGCAGCCCCCCACCCCGTGACACAGCTGCCTGTTGGGAAGGGGGGAGGTTCATGAAATCAAAGGCAGGATACTCCTCCTGGGGGCCCACAGCCGGGGGAGTTAGGGCATAGCGAAGCCCCAACCTCGCCCTGCGCAAAGGCCCAGAATCCAGGTTCCTGCTCACCTGGCCCCGGGGGAAATCCTAGCAGGTGCTCCACCCCTACAGCTGCAGGCGCTGAGACCCCTGTCCAGAGCGCCCATCGCCCAGGTGGGAAACGGAGACGCACAGAGGACCAGGTTCAAGGTCACACAGCCGATGGCCTGCCAAGGATCCCACACCTGTCCTACATGCTGGCACCCTCAGAGCCCCTTCTGGGCTCCAGGCCAAGCAGGAGGGGGACTCCTCCGGCCTTTCTGCTGATTCGGCAACTGCTGACTCAGCCCTGGGGAAGCACAGCCAAGGACTGGTACCAAGGGGAACCCAAGGGTCCCCCAGCCCCATCACACTTGGCTGTGGGGGGGGGGGCGGGGTGCAGGGGGCTTCAGCCAGCTCAGCTCCAGGGAAGGCCCACACTGGGCTGGGAGCTCCGGGACTGGGGAGCTCAGAGCTCCAGGTCAAGAAGACCCGGTTCCCCCAGGCCTGGCCTGTGGGCCACCTGGTGACACTCCGCAAACCTAAACACCAGATGCACACGGAGGAAGGCTGGGGCCATCTGGATCCCGCGCCCTCTGGGGCTCCTCCCCGGGGCTCTCTTGATAGGCGCTCACCCAAACCTGGGGAAACCCCACTTCCAACACCTGCCTGGACAAAGGAAGAGAACCCCCCCAACCCCCTCCCCAGCGCTGACAGAATCTGACCCTCCAATTCCCTCTTCAGCCCAGGAAGACCCCTTTTAGTATATCCCAGGAACAAAGACACCCCTGCTTCCTGGGGGTGGGGCGGGGCATCTTATAAGTCTGGGCGCCCCCTCCCACCAGGACAACCATGGGCGTGGGGCCTCTCGCCCCGTGAAGGCGGATCTGCCCAAATACTGGGTCTTAGACTAGAACCCCAGGCCCACTTCCCGACCCTCCCTAGCACGCAGAACAGGCGACCCCCGCCCCATCCCATGCCCCGTGCGCCCCTCACCCCTGACTCGCCCGGGGTACTCACACGTCCTTGGCGGGCAGCGCCCGGCCCTCCACCACGCGGACATTCAGGGAGCTGCTCTTGGCCATGGCGCCTAGCCCCAAACTTTCCGGGCAGGAGGGCGCCCAGGTTCCGAGGCTGGACCGCGGAGGGGGCGTCTACATGTCACCAGCTGCGAGCCAGGCGCCCTGTCCCGGGGTCCCAGCGCCACCTGTCCAAGACGCGGGTAGCTGGGCGGGAGGTTTCCGAAGGAGGAGAAAGGGTAGGTATCCGGGGAGGGGGCGGCCCCTGGACTCTACAGGTAGAAGCCGTGCGCCGAACAGGCAGAGCGCGCAGGGGGCACCGCCGGTTCGTGCCTCCCAGTCTGGAGCTCCTGGTGGGCGGGCGGGGCGGGAGGGGGCAGCCCAGGGCCCTCCCCCCAATCCCGCCTCCCGCGGGGTCCCCCGCCCGTCCCCGGGCCCCCTCGCGCGCCCTCTGCCGGCACCCCAGCCACGCGCGCCAGAGCGCACGGCCGCGGAGACTAGGGCGCGCTGGGGCTCGGACTGCCAGGTGGGGAGCGGCCCACGGCCATAATGGGCGTGGCCGCCGGCTCCTGGTGAGTTGGCATTGGGCTCGGAAGACACAGTCTGTCCCCTGCCTGCCCTCCCTCCAACACGTTCACACCTCCCCGGCCCTCCCCTGCCTACCATCCGGCGCCGCCTCCTCCCTCCGACCCCCATGCCCCGTCCGGGAGCGGGATCCGTGGTCGGCGGGAGGCGTCGCCAGAGACAGAGTCGCACATGCCCTGGGGGTCCGTTCAGAGTCAAGGGAGGGGCCTCGAACGTCCCCTCCGTCTCTTTTAGTTTCCAATGAAACTCAGACTGCGCGAGCGGCAGCTCCCACGTCACGGGCTGGCGCTGCGGGGGAGGAAGACGCGGCCGCGGGGGAGGGGAAGGCTCGCGGGTGACAACCACTCCAGCGGTGATAAAAGTCACCTAGACTTGTTTGAACGCTCGCTGCGTGCCAGGCACTGATCTGTTTTACAGGCGTTATCTCAGCGTCGTCCTCACGATAATTCTAGGTACTATGTACTATTGTACTATTAAGGAAACTGAGGTTCAGAGGGATTAAATAACTTGCGGAAGGTCTCACAGTCAGTAACTGGTTTGCCTTTCTGGATTTAAATCCTGACTCCACCACTTGGTAGCTGTGTGGTCTTGGGCAAGTCACTTAACCTCTCTGTGCGTTGGTTTGGTTTTCTCCTCTCTTCAATGGGAATAACACCGTATCTCACTCACAGGGTTTTGAGAGGATTAGATGAGATAGAGCAGATATGAAGGAAGCAGATACCGGTCTCAGAACAGTGACAGGCACACAGGCTTTCAGAAAGTGTTTATATTAGTAGTATTGTCCTTCAAGGTGTAGCTCAAATGTCACCTCTCCTAGGAAGTCTTCCAGGATGCCCTCCCACCCGGGCAGAGGTTTTCTTCCTTTTTTCTCTCCTCATGTAGCTCCAGGTTTGTACATTTTACAAGTTTTAAATGAGATGATGTGACTGGAAGGGCCTGTCCAGGGCAGATACACACACACTATTTCACCCTGTGGGTTCGTTGTTTACCCGCCTAAGACTTCTTAGAAGGGCTGGCGCTGGGCCTGACTCACTCCTGTCAGCCCAGGGCTGGGCACCAATAGGAAGGCCCCTATTGGCGGGAGCCAACGCCTGAACCTGCGGGACAGGGAAGGCCCTGCCCAGCCACACGTGTGACCTGCTTCCCAGTCTCCCTCCTGGACTTCCTACCTGGCACCCCAGCCAGGGAGCTCTGCCTGGTGAGTCCTCCAACTGCCAGAGACTGGGCCTCAGTTACCCCATGTGGGAAATGGGTCTAGCGAGGTTGGCCCCCAAAGCTAAGAAGTATTGTAGCATCCTTCACTGGGGAATGAGGCGTGATCCAGGGTTGGATCCCCAACAGTGGTAGCCCCAAGTAGTTAAAGCCCCACATAATCTTTATCAGTCACCCCAGATCCTCACCAGGGGAAAATGGTACTTGCTGTGTGGCTACTATTTCTAGGATAGGTGTCCTGCCCTCCCTCCCACCTGGGTGGGAGCCTTTGGCTGAACTTTTTTCTTCTGAGGTCCTGTGGAGACCTCAGATAGGGTTCCAGCCCCAGGGGACCCCTGAAGGAACCTGGGGGTCTAGCCCTGGGGCCACCTGGGATGTCAGCCAAACTGCCACCCAGCCATCTCGGCCCGTCTTCCGGAGCTGACAGGAAGTCACATTCCCAGACAGCCCTCCCCGGGGCCCCCAGGGGGGTTACGAAGGCTGTGGACTGTGCCGCCCAGGCCTCCCGGGAGCCAGCTCTGTCACCTGTCCCATACCCGGCGCCTGACCCTGCGATTCACCCGGGGCTGTGACCACAGTCGCCAAACTTTCTGAATGGCCTGGTCACTTCCTGTTGTTCTGAGAAGCTGCGACCTGAAACTAACAGAGGGTTTGAGGTTCCCGAGGGCAGCCCCTGTCACGGGACCCAGGGGGAAAGGTGACTCAGAGAAGGAGTTGACCTGCTGGAGGCCACCCAGCTGGGAGAGGGGAGGGCAGGCTCCTGAGCACCAGGCCGGGCTGTCATGCAGGAAGGGCCTCCCCTTTCCCACGGGCTGCGGTGAGGATTAATCAAGCAGGCAGTGTAAGGCAGCTGGCGTCACTCCTGGTACACAGTAGGTGCTCAAGAAATGGTTAGCCCCCTCCCCTTCCCTTTCCTCTAAGCTTCTTAAAGACAAGCCCGTGATCGTCTTCTTGCCAGCTCCCTCCAGTCTAGCACCCGTGGGGTGCACACAGCAGGCGCTTCGTAAAGCCTAAAGTGGGAGGAGATGCTGAGCTCAGGGTTGAAGAGCAGAGGTTCTAGCATCCAGGCAGCCTGGGGCTGAATCCTGGCACCTACACTTACGGGCTTGCTGTTCTTGGGCAAATGAGTCACCCTCTCGGTGCCTTAGTTTCTTCATCTGTGAATTGGGGATAATAATAGTGCTCACCTCCTAGGCTGAGTGTGAGAATGGGTTAAAATAAATATCAGACGTTTAGCACAGCCTGGCATACAGCAAGTGCTCAATAAGTGTCATAGCCATTGCAGGACATCCTGAACCCACTGCTGTGCCTGACATGGAGCCCCGCTTGGTGGCTCAGCTCTGAGGCAGGGGCCTGAGGACGAGGCGGGTTGTGGGGAAGAGCGCCAGGCCCAGCCCTGAACTCCAGGGTTGGATGGAGCGGCCACACTTCAGTGGCCAGTGCAGTTCCGGGTGGCTGAGCTGGGGGAATTTGGGGGTTTGCATCCCAGCTGAGAAATCTGATAGAGATCCCAAGATCAGATTCCTGCGCCCTGATGGGCCCTGCTGCCCAGGACCGGTGAGTCCCCCACTTCATCTGAGATGCTGGGCCTGGGGCCCTGGGGGAGCTCACAGACACAGAATGGAGAGGGCTGCCCGTCCCAGAGGAGGGCTCAGGCCTGGGCACCAGCAGGGGTGCGCTGAAGCCACTGCTACTGGCTCACAAGAGCCACTGTGACCAGGCCCTTCCAACTCCGGGAGCAGCAGTACCGCACTGGGAACTGGAAATTGACTGTGGTAGGAGAATTCATGCCATGGAAATCGGCAAAGGCTACACGTTCGGTTTTTTTTTTTTTTTTTGGAGAGTCTGTTCAACAACACACCACTGGGCACAGGCTTCTTGGCCACATAGCCTTCTAGACACCACTCCTGAAGTCAACACCCTTAAGATTTTACTCGGATCCCCCCACACACACTCTGCCTTAGCCCTGTCAGTTCCTTCCATCAGGAAAGCCTTTACATTCCTTTCTCTACCCGTTTCCTTGTCCCAGTCCTACAGATACAATTGAATAAAGATTGGGGGAGGGGGGTGAAATTAAGTACAGTCAATGCAATATCAATATAATGGAATACTATATAGCTGTTAAAAACGATGTTCTCAAAGACTATTGCATGATAGGCAACATTATAAAAAAGAAAACTGTAAGTAGTGGGAAAAACACGGTATATACGACCATCTGATCCTGATGCCATAAAATATTATATGTGTGTATATAGTATTCTTTTTAGTCAACAGATGTGTGTTGAGCGGTTGCTATGTACTAGGCAGTGGAGATATCGTGAGATATAAGACAGCCCAGCCCTGCTCCCACGGGGCTCTCAGTGCAGTGGGAAACAGAGGAGAGTAACAGGCAGCTAAAGAACATCCTCGAAGCGGGAAGTAGGAAGGCACGGGGCAGAGCTGAGCCTGGAGGGCTTTCTTCCACATGATGGCATGTGCTTCTTTTATAATCAGAAAATAATTCGTGCTCCCTCTGCTTTCTGAGAGCACCATCCCTTGCTTGCTTCGCAGCGTCCGGGAAGCCCTGGAAGGCTGGGGAGGGGGCGAGGACCAGCCCCGGCCCTGGCTGGCAGCGCTCCGTGACCTTGGTCTCTTGTTCTCTTGTTTCGTGGTGATTTACATGCTCGTCTTATCTCCTAAATGTCAGAGACAATGTCTGATTCATGCCTCGCCTCCACACCGCTTGGCACATACAGACTCACTCAAAACACACTCGCGGGGTAAAGAGAATCCAGTTCCGCTCCAGGGCTGGAGCTGGCCTCTGCCCTTCTGATAATAGCAGCAGTATTTGTTACTTCCTTTGTCCCCACGGTGCCCAGGATGGCAGCTTAACCTTGCCAGCTGACCACCTCCCCGCTACACCTGCACCCCAAACGGAGGCCGACCCCTCCTCTGGCCCCACAGACCTGTCCGCCTCTAGCCCTCAGTTTCCCCTCCTGGGAAGTGGCACCGTCCCTCCTGAGGCCAAGATCGGGGCAAGGCAGGCAAGCTCCGCCCAGGTTGGGGGTGAGGAGGGTGTTCTTTGTCTCGGGAACACAAAGCCCTGTTTGTGATGACTGGGCTCGACTCCGGGCAGGCAGCCACGTGGGACAGGAGGCGGCGGGGGAGGAGTGGGCAGGATTTCCAAAACCCCTTGCTGCGGGCTGGCTGCTGAGGATGCGGGCCGGTCAGTCCCCTCCTCCCATGGGTCCGTCTGTCAGTCCACACCCCGCTTCCTCCTTCCTCAGTCCTTCTCCCCAGAGTTCCCTCCCCGCCCTGGAATGGAGAAAGAGGAAGAGGGGAGCCGCCGAAGCATGAGACGGTGGGGCTGGGAGCTGGGGAGAGGGGATATTTCCAGAGCCTCTGGGTTTGTGGCCAAGGGCAAGGCCAGCTGAGAAGTCTCGTCCTGCTGCCACTCAACCACCCCACCCAACCCATCCCCCAGGTGGGCACGGAGACAGGTGGGAGGCCGGGACCTCTGCCTCGGCAGCATGGCAGGGGAGCCCCAGGAGGACTTGGGAGCAATGCCCCATTTAACAGAGGGGATGCTGAGGCCTGGGGGCTGCCTGGCTGGCCACAGAGCTGATGACGTAGCTCCGGCCTTCTGAGAACGTGTTGTCAGCACCTTCTCCTCTCCTCTAGGCCGTGAGCAGTGCCAGCGCAGGGATGGGTTGAGTTATCTCTGTGTAAACAAACACCAGGGCCCATCACTTCTCAGCCTCGTGTCCTCAAAGGAGTCACTTAACTGCCCCTGGGCCTGGGTCCCCTCGTTTGTCACTTGGATCACGGGTCTGACCCCTCCTTGGCCCTATCCAGTCCTGACCCACCCCATCATCCGAGAATTCTGCACACCAACCTACAGAACTTTGTTCTCTTCTAGGAGGGGCCCCATCATCCTGCCTCGGGGCCTTTGCACATGCTGCTGCAGCTACTTGGAACACTCTTCCTCTCCTTCAGGTGTGGGTTCACACGTCACTGTCCTCAAGGAGGCCTCCCTGCCCCCTCCTTGCACTCTAGACCTCTCCTCCTAACCCTAGCAGAGTGTAATGCCATATTTGTAGGGATTTTTGATTCGTCTGGCCTCGCCATTAGCCTGTAAGCCCCATGAGGGCAGGTTTTGTCTTATCCACTGCTGTATCCTCACACAGTGTCTGACACGTAGTAAGTGCTCAAAAACATTAGCAAAACACTGCCTCTAAAAGAATAGAAATTAAGAAGGGAAGGATGCATACCAGCTCCAAGATGATGGCATTCTCTGGAGAGGGAAGGAAGGGAATGGGCCTGAGGAGGGAAAAATCCAAGAAGGGCTCCCCTGGATCTGGAGTATTGTGGTTAAGAGGGTGGACTCCACACCCAAATGGCCTGAGTTCAAATCCCACCTTAGACTTGACACCAAAAGCACAATCCGTAATGGAAAGAGTGGCAGATTAGACCTCATCAAAATTTAAAACTTTGCTTTGCAAAAGAGCATGTGAAGAGGATAAAAAGATACTACAGACTGGGAGAAAATAGCCAACAGAGGACTATCTGGAATGTCTAGACATATCTCTAGAACATACAGGGAAGTCTCAAAGCTCGACAGTTAAAAAAAAAACAATCGGGGCCGGCCCGGTGGCGCAAGTGGTTAGGTGTGCGCGCTCCGCTGCGGCGGCCCGGGGTTCGCTGGTTCGGATCCCGGGCGTGCACCGACGCACTGCTTGGCGGGCCATGCTGTGGCGGCGTCCCATATAAAGTGGAGGAAGATGGGCACAGATGTTGGCCCAGGGCCGTCTTCCTCAGCAAAAAAAGAGGAGGATTGGCGGATGTTAGCACAGGGCTGATCTCCTCACAAAAAAAAAAAAAAAAAAAAAAAAAAAAAAAAAAAAAAAAAAAAAAAAAAAAAAAAAAAAAAAAAAAAAAAAAAAAAAAAAAAAAAAAAAAAAAAAAAAAAAAAAAACAATCCAACTAGAACATAGGCAACAGACATGAACAGAGACTTTGCTGAAGGGGATCTACAGATGGCGAATCAGCGCGTGGAGAGCTGTCATCATCATCAGCCATGAGAGAAATGCAAAGTAAAACCACAGAGAGCTTTCACTGCACACCTCTCCTAATGGCTGAAACAAAGAAGTGATAATAGCCAGCATGCAGAAAAACTAGATCACTCAGACGTTGCTGGTGGGAAGATAAAACGGTGCAGCCGCTCTGGAGAAGAATAAGGCAGTTTCTTAGAACAACTAACCATGCACTTCCATACAACCCAGCAATGGCACTCTTGGGCATCTCCACCAGAGAAGTGAAAACTCATATTCACACAAAAACCAGGACATGAATCTTCATAGTGGCTTTCTTCAAAATAGCCCCCAAACTGAAACAACCCAAACGTCCTTCCACCTGAATGGTTAAACAAACTGTGGTACGTCCACACTGTGGAATGCTATTCAGTAGTCAAAAAGAGCAAACACTGATACATGTAACAAATAGGATGGATCTTAAGAGAATTATGGGAAGTGAAAAAAGCCAATCTCAAAAGGTTACATACTGGGCCGGCCCCGTGGCTTGGTGGTTAAGTGCGTGCGCTCCGCTGCTGGCGGCCCGGGTTCGGATCCCGGGCGCGCACCGACGCACCGCTTCTCCGGCCATGCTGAGGCCGCGTCCCACATACAGCAACTAGAAGGATGTGCAGCTATGACATACAACTATCTACTGGGGTTTTGGGGGGAAAAAATAAATAAATAAAATTATAAAAAAAAAAAAAGGTTACATACTGTATGATTGCAACTATATAACATCCTGGGCATGACAAAACTCTACAGCTGGAGAACAGATGAATGGCGGCCAGGGATTAGGGAGGTGGGAGAAGGGAGGATGTGGCTCCAAAGGGTAGCAGGAAGGATCCGTGTCTTGAGTGTTCTGTATCGTGACTGTGACAGTCACAGGAATCTACATGTGATAAAATTGCCTAGAACTAGATAGACACACAAAATGAACACATGGAAAACTGTGAAATCTGAATGAGGTCGGTGGATTGTATCTATGCAATTTCCTGGTTGTGATATGGTACTAGAGTTATGCAAGATGTGACCATTGGGGGAAACTGGGTGGAAGGGACATGGGATCTCTGTGTATGATTTCTTAAACTGCAGATGGACCTACAATTATGTCTAAATAAAAAGTAATCCATGCAGCGACACATCTATTTGAATGACTTTTTTAAAAACTGACAATACCAACTGCCGGCGAGGATACGGAGCAATCAGAACTCTCAAGCTTTGCTGGTGTGAAGATAAAAATGGTACAGACACTTGGAAAAACAGCTTGCAGTTTTTTATACAGTTAGACATACACTTACCATAGGACCCAGCAATCCTACTCCCACGTATTTACACAAGGGAAATGAAAGCTTATATTCACACAAAAACCTGCACGGGACTATAGGCTATATTTATAATGCCCTGGACTCGAAATAACCCAACAGGAGGATGAATAAACAAATGACAGAATATAATCAAATACTACTCAGCAATGAAAAAGAATGAATTACTGATACACTCATGGGCATGAGTGAATCTCAAATGAATAGTGCCTGGGGAAAGAAGCCAAAAAGCTACAAAGTATAGAATTTCATTTGTGATATTCTGAAAAGGCAAAACTATACCGATAGAGAACAGAATAGCGGTTGCCAGGGGCTGGGGTGGGGACAAGGGTGGATTACAAAAAAGCATGAGGACTTTTGGGGGGTGATGGAAATGTTCTATATCTTGACTGTCGTGGTGGTTACACAACTTTATGCATTTGCCAAAACCCACAGAACTGTAGGAGCAAAAAATGAATTTTACTTTATGTAAATTATACTTCGATCTTTTTTAAATCAAGAAAAACAGATCATGTATCTCGCAACTTCACATCAATTTATGCAGAAAGCTAGTATGTGCAATTTAATGCAAAATGCTCAAAGATAAAATGTACATTATTTTAGCTCTGTTTTTTTTTTTTAATTTGCTCTAACAAAATGCTTAGGAGTTGTTTTAAGCAATGTAGGCATGACAAGAACTATCGTTTTTTAAATAGTGTTACTCTACAATAAGAAAACACATTTCTTTACATGAAAAATAAATTATTTAAAATAGAAAAATAAAACGATGAGAAGCAAAGATAACAGGATGCTCGAGTGTGTTATTTCCGGGTGGAGGACCCAGGGGTATCTGTGATGTTACTCTGGGTAACATTTTTTTTCCTTTTTCCTAGTCCCACCCCCCTGCACCAGTGCCGTCTGAAGGATTAAATTAGACGCTCTATGTAGAGTACTTAGCACAGTGTCTGACCCACAGTAATTGCTCAAACTATGTCAGCTCCTCCCTCCCCCCACCTCCTCCAAATACACCTCAGGGGGCCCTTCCAAGCTGGTCCCCACCGTGCAGTGATGAGGGCCCCTCTCTGTCTCCCCAACCAGGCTGGGGGCTCCATGAGACACAGCCATCCCCAGCAAAGGGAGTGGCCCCTCAAAGGGCTGGAACGTAGTGGACCCTCAGTGCGTTGCTGGGGAGTGAACGACCCCGCCCAGGACTCCGCAAACTGTGGGTGCTCGATCATTTTCTTTTGAGAGATCAACCAAGCATACAGCCACATTGGTGAGGCCCCACCCCACCCAGCCAGGAAGAGGCTTGACCAGACCTGGGGCACCAAGAGGGGTAAATTCTTGGCTGAGGGACCCCGTCCTCTGTGCTGCACCCCAGTTGAGATGGGGAGTTAGAGCCCTCTCCAGAAGGAGGAGGGGCTGAACCGCTCCCGGCAGCCCCCTCCCTCTCCTCCCAGGGTGCATTCCCCTGGCCACAGGCAGGCAATGGAATGTTGTGTGGTTGGTTGCCCGGGCAACCAAGGCCTGCTCGGTGGCCGCCTCCTGGGAGCATGAGCACACCGCCGCACCACCCTCCGTCAGAAACCCCCAGGGCTTCCGAGGCTGGTGCAGACTCCAGCCCCGGAAAGCAAGCCGGGAGAATGGCAGTGCCCTGGGAGGAATATTTCCGACTGGCCTTGCAAGAGAAACTGCCGACGTGAGTGGCGCCGAGTGGCAGCGAGGGCTGGAAGGAGGGCCAGAGCGGGTGGGACGGCCCAGCGCTTCTCCCTCCCCCGGCGCCCGGCTTCCTCTGGCAGTTCGTGGTGGGAGATTATTGTCCCCACGTCCCAGAGGAAGAAACCGGGGCTCAGAAAGAAATGGTGATTGCCCCAAGGTCTCAGGGCTAGTGAGAGTAGAGCCGGGTCAATAGCCCAGGTCTCTAATCTGTTCCTGACCCCCACCCCATCCAGCTGAGACGAAATCATTTGAACCAAGGTGGGAAGAAATGATTCTGTGACCACTGGCCCCCCTCTCCCTGCACACTCTGCATTTTAAAGGAAGAGGGGAGGAAGCTTGTCCCTTGCCTGCTCTGCGTTCAGCAGTGTGACCGAGGGTCCCAACCTCAGTCTCAGACTCTGTAAAATGGGAAGGTTCCCCTGGACCAGAGCTGAGAAAGCCTTGGTGAATGGGCCGTCAGTGCATCCCTTCTGCTCCCCACACAGCCGACCCTGTGGGGCAGTACCAGCCCCTCCTCTCCCCCGAGAGCCCAACTCCAGATCCCCGCCTCCTCCCGGACCCCCCCCTCAGAGGTCCAACGGGCCTCTCAGTCTCAATCTAACCGCAGCAAGATGCTGATCTCCCCTGCCCCGCCCTCAGCCTTCCATCAGCAACACCCTTCCAGCTCCTAGGTTCAGCTTTTCTCATCCCCTCATCACTCCATCAGCTCTGCTCTCAAATTGTGCCCAGACTGCCCCTCCTCGCCTCTCCACTGCAGCCACCCTGATCGGGACCACATCGTCTCTGCACTATCCCATCACCCCGCCACTGGCCTCCTGCAGCTGCCCGGCCCCTCCTGTTGTCCCTGCTCCCACAGCAGCCAGGGGGACCCCTCCTCTGCTCAAAACCCTCCCATGGCTCCCACCACACTCAGAGTCAAGGCCACGTCCTCCCTCCCCACGGCCCACCGCAGTCTGACCCTCACAACTCGGATCTCAATCCCCATCTCTCCCTCCTCCTCTCTCCCCTCCAGCCACAGTGGCCTCCTCACAGCTCCTTACACACCAAGATCCTTCCCTCGGGGCCTTGGCATTGGCTATTCCCTTGGCCTGGAGTTCCCTGCGGATATCCACATGGCTCACTCCCTCTTCCCCTCAGGGTCTCTGTTCCAGTGTCACCTCCCTACTGAGAGGAAGAGTGACTTTTCCATATCCCTACTGAGAGACTCCCTTCAGTCTGCTTGATTTTTCATCTCAGCACCTACCACGTCCTAGCATTGTTTATTATTATTGTTAGCCTTATGTTCTGTGGCCCCCAGCAGAACGCGGGCTCCTGGGGGCCGGGGGGTTTGTCTGTCTTGTCCTCAGCTGCACCCCCAGGGCCTAGAACGGCGCCTGGCATGGAGTAGGTGCTCAGCACAGCGTGTTGCATGAATGAAGAATTCAACAGCCAGTGGGTGGCTAACGGGGGCATTTCAGGCACTAGTGGGGACATCTGGGGCCCTGACTCTCACCTCCTTCACCCCCACCTCCTCCTTGAGCCCCTCCAGGAAGATCCCCGAGCAGAATGCAGACCAATTCCCGCCGGTGCTGCATCTCCTGGAGAAGAGGCAGGAGCTGGCGGATGCGGACCAGGACCTGCGGGCCCAGAAGGAGGTGAGCCCCCCCGCAGTCTCTGAGACTTTGGGGACCCCAGACAAAAGAAAACGGTGGTGAGCAGGGGAATGGGAAGTGATGGAGCCAACTTATTAGCGACAAGGGCTGAGACGCGTCATTTCACCGGTCTGAGCCTGGGTCTCCTCGTCTGTCAAACGGGGAGATCAGCTGTTGGTGCAAATAAATGTGCACGGAGCACCTGCTACGTGAAGGGCACTGCGTCGGAATCTAGAAGTCTCACCACGGTCGCTGCCCTCATGGGCTCACAGTCTAGAGAAGGAGAAAGACAAGTGTCCAGAGACAAGTGATGGCTCTGAGGGGGGAAGCACCGAGAAGGGACTGTGGAAGCCCAGAGGAAGCCCCTATCTCTACATGAGAGTGGTCAAGGAGGGCTTCCTGGAGGAAGCGATGTCTTAGGGATTGCTGAAGGGCTAGTCGATTTATCCAGCAGAGGAGGACGGGGTGAGGAGGGAGAAACAGGCAGAGGGAACGGCACATGCAAAGACTGGAAGGCAAGGAAAAAACAAAAGTGGTCAAGCGGCTGGAAGACAGAGCGTCAGAGGAGAGAGGGCAAGATGAGGCCCGAAGGAAGGGCAGGGACGCCGGCATGCAGGGGCCGCAGGAGGGCATTGGGGCTTCACCATGGGGCGGGTGGGAGCCATGGGTGGGTTTCAGCAGGGGTGCAGTAATGGGATAGGGACAGGAGACGAGAGAGGTTAAGCGTGAACCTGAAAACTCTGGATGACTTGAACCCGAAACACACACAGACTCCCCACACCCCTCCAAGGTGTTCCAGACCACGATGGCAGCCCTGAAACAGCGCTGGGAACAGCTGGAACAGAAGGAGCGCGAGCTGAAAGGGTCCTTTGTCCGCTTTGACAAGTTTTTGCAGGTGGGTGGAGACTGCTGGGGGAGGCAGGCCACGAGCGCCGAAGACTCACAATCCTGTAGGGGCCAGACAGGTCACGCGAATTTAGAAAGTGGGCTTATTAATAGAAAAGGGAGTGGTGGGAAATGCACACGCACTGCCCGAAGCACTCGAGTTTTTAAAAAGCGTGGGGGAGGAGTGAGGGATCAAAATCAGAGATTCTGGCTGAATGCGGCCCGCGGGCCACCTGTTTGCTACCCACGGCTGGCGTGCGAGTGTTGGGGCGGGGTGGACGGCGAGCCCCGCAGGCTCCCGAGTCCTGAGGGTGGTCGCCTCCTCTCCGCGTCCGCGCCGCAGGACTCCGAGGCCCGGCGCAGCCGCGCGCTGCGGAGGGCGGCAGAGGAGCGGCACCGCGCGGGCCGCCAGGAGGCCGAGGCGCTGCGGCTGCGGATCCAGCTGCAAGAGCTGCAGCGGGAGCGCGCGCGGCTGCAGCGCCGGCGGGAGCGCCTGGAGCCCTGCGCGCGCCTGCTGGGGCACGTGCTGGAGCAGCTGCCCGAGGTGAGCGCCCTGCAGCAGGTGCTGGGGCTCAGCGCCGCCGCGCAGCGCTGGGTGGCCTCGGGGCTGCTTGGGAAGAGTGCACTACTAGAACGCTGACTGTGTGCCGGGAGTCATCACTTACGGAGCACTAACGGTATGCCAGCGGCACGCTTTGTTCTTGCATTCTGCCCACGGCCCAGTGAAATGGGCCCTGTTATTGTCAACCCTATCTTACAGATGGGGAAACTGAGGCTCGGAAAGTTAGTTCTTACTCAAGGACACAGTCTGGAAGCGGCAGCGGGAGATCCAGGCACTCAATAAATATTAGTTGAATAAAACAATGAATTAATATTAATCTCAGGCAGGGAAGCTGATCTAGGCTTGATGATGGAGGTGGGGAGAGCCGGGAGTAACCCCCACGTGTGGGGCAGGGGCTGTGTGATGCCCCATTTCACAGGTGGGCTAACTGCGGGGGCACCAGGGGGCGTGGGCGGGCCAGGCGGCGTGGGGAGGGCAGGAGGCCGCAGGCCCGGGTGAGTCCCCCTCCCGACCCCACCCCAGTTCCAGGAGGTCCCCGAGCTGGTGGCGCGCTTCAGCGGCCTGGCCGACATGCGGGAGGCGCTGAGGCTCACGGCGCGCCGGCGGCTCGCCGAGCTGGAGGAGGCGCGCGCGCGGCTGCAGCGGCTGCGGGACGCCCGGCAGGACGAGCTGCTCCGGCAGGGCCAGCGCCGAGCGCAGCTGCTGGAGCGCCTGGAGGCGGCGCGGGAGCGCACACTGCACTGGGTACGGCCCGCGGCGGGGAGGGGGCGCCCGGCTTCCCAGCCGCCGAGGCTGATAAGAACAGATGGGCAATCCTTACCCCTGAGGGGCAGCTGCACTAATGGGGAGCTTTCAGGAGTCAGAACGCGCTTCTGGGCACTGGAGGCCCGTCCTGCAGACGCTGACAACCCGTTCCTGTACTCCTGTCCCGGAGAGGGCCTGAGGCGTCCGACTGGCGGGAAGTGGGTGGGAATGAGGCCCCAGGCCTCCTCCGGCCGGCTTACACCTGGATCGGGGAGGGGGCGGGGTGTTCTCCAGGAATCCAAGTGGGTTCAGATCCAGAACACGGCCGCGGAGAAGACCCTGCTCCTGGGACGCATTCGGATGTCAGCGCTCAACCTGTTCCAGCTGGTGTGCCAGCATCAGAGGCAGCCACCCGCCCTGGACGTCGAGGACACGGAGGGGCAGCTGGAGCAGGTGAGGGCCTCCTCTCTGTGTCACCTCCAGGCCCCAAACCTCTGGAAACATCATGGTGCCTTGAGTCCCTCCTGCTCTGGGTTAAGCATGACCCCTGTGATCAGAGCCCCTGTCCTAGCGCCACAGACGTGGGCTCGCCGGCCGCGCAGGGCCCCTGCCTGGGCGTCCTGGGTTGGCCTTGGCTCTGATGGTCATCTGCTGTGGCCAGAAGGCAGTCGTAGCCCTCTCTGGGTCTCGGCGCTCCGACTTGTGCAAGAGGGCCAGGGTGTATACTGACCAACACGGATGTTTATGCCAAGAGCCCTTTTCTCCCAGGATCAAACAGCACCCAGGAGGTTGAGACTCACTTTAATTAATTCCTGGGCCTCTGGCTCCCCAAATGGACAGGCCTCGGCTTCCCTAGGGAGGGTGAGGGCGGGGTGGAGCGGTGGTCTTTCTTTCTGCACAACGGCGCCACCAATGTCACTGTGGACCAGGTACGCCGGATTTCCTATCCATCCGGGTTTGCAAGGTTGTAGAACAGGTGACATGGGTTTACAGCGCAGGGAGGAGGGTTCTGATTTGGCACTTCTGTTGTTTCCAGTGGGGACCCAAAGCCTGGCCCCTCTGAGAAGGGGAGCAAACACAAAGGGAGGCACCCCACCTTCCCCCCACCCCCATCCCACTCCTGCCCTGTGCCCAACGGCCAGGATTCCAACCAAACGCCAGGCCCTGGGTCCCCGGAGCACCCCTCTCCGCTGTGTCACATCCCGAGCTGTTGATTGGTGTACACCACCATTCTCCCCGGCGTGGCCCGCGTCCCCTGAGGTACACAGAGACTCTGCTCGATATGAAGGAACAGGCAAAGGCCAGCCCCTTTTCAACAGGCCCTCTGATTCTACCAAGGAGAGAGGCTCATGAGGGACCATGCCTATAACCCCCTAATGCTTCCTAGTTCCAGCCAGGGACTCGCCCCAGTAGGCCACGGCCACTGGCCAGAATTCAGTAACACAGTGCCTTTTTCACTGGATGATTTTTCCAGTTAGCCCCTACTTATGACAAGGGTAACGTTATTGTTTGCCATTTTTGGTGGACAGTTTCCTTCTCAGATGTTTATTTCAGCAACTGATGGGAAGGGAGAGCCCAGGGATGAGGTGACCATCAAGTCCTACCTAGTTCTTGGCAGAGGATCCATGGGTGTTTGTTAAGTTCATATCAAGAAATAAGTTATCAAAACAAAGTAACGGAGGCCCACTCGTGAAGATGAGAGTAGATCATACACCAATGAATGTGACTGATCCAATTAAAAAAAAAAAAGAACCGACATAACTGAAAACACTCATTTCATTCTAACAGTGACAGGCAGCTAGGAAACCGTGAGGGTGTCTGGACCGAATGGTTCGAGAGGCTCAGACAGAGGCTTTTAGAACCCAGAACACTTTAGGGAAGCCCACTGCCCCAGGAACCGTCATTCCTGTCTTCTGATAGGGGTCTCCGGCCCCCACCCCGGCCTTGCAGCCTCCCGAGTATTGGGGGGGGGGGCTGGACAGATGGGGGCTGGGATGTGACTCTGGCCACGTTGGGGACCCTAGGTGAAGCTGTTCATCCTGGACCTCTCCTCCATGCTGGCCAGCCTGCGTCAGACGGAGCCTGTGGCCTCCTAGTGACGAGGTGAGCAGGGGGGAGGGGCCCCTTGGGGGAGAGGAGGCACCACATTGCCTGCCCGGTGCAGGCTGAGGGGCTCTCCCCTGAGAGACGGGAGGGCTGTGCCAGCTCAGACTGCTGGGGGGCGGCCACGAGGGGCGCACAGCAAGCGCTCAGGAAACGTGGGCTACGTGGGGGTGCCAACTCTGCATCCCCCACGTGGCCCAGGACCAGGTCCTCCCTCCCAGGGCGGTGGGGGCAGTAACCAAGCTGATGTTTGTCAGGCGCTTGGAACAGGGTCTGGCACCCGGTAAATTCTAGATGAGTGTTTGGTAAGTAAAGTAAAATAAACAGGAGCAGCAAGAGGGTCACATGGCAGAAACCCGTCCGCGGGGCGCCTGCCCACAAAGGCTCGTCCACTGTGGACGTGCTGGGGGATGGCCAGGCCCGAGAATCCAGCTGCTGGAGGCCACCATTGACCTTCCCAGGACCCCAAACAGGGGCTGGGGCAGGACAGAGGGCAGGGCAGGTTCTGACCTCAGGGTGTGTGGTGGGGGCAGTGTTAACCCCTTCACAGCCAGAGGGGAGCAGCTGTGCCCTCTGACCCCAGACCCCGCATCCCCTCTCCCACCCACAGTCCACTCCCAGGTGCAGCCCGTCCTGGCAGGAGGAAGGGAGACCGCCTGCCGGCTTTGGGGCTCTCCCACCTCAGGCGACTGACTCGTCCTCTGAGCCCCGTCCTCCTCGTCGCTAGAATCGGGACCCCAGCTGGGATCCCATGGGACTTGCCCAAGTGCTCTCAGCTCCTCCGCCACACCTGCTGGGATCTTAGTACCTGGGTCTGTCCCGTCCGACTCCTTGAGGAGACTGCACTCCAGATCCACTAGAGGTGCTCAGTAAAGGTTTATTACATTAAAAATATACCACTGGGCCTTAGGCACTTGGGGTTCAGACCCATGTGGCCATGACCCCTGAACCCAGAACACATGAAAGCAGCAGCAGCCAAGTTGCCAACTCAGGTCTTGGCCTGTCTGGCCTTGCTGGCGAACTCCTACACACCCCTCAAGACCCTGCTCAAATGTCTCTGTCCTGGACAGAGGCAGCTGCTGTCCCTCTGTGGCCATCCGCACTCCTTTTCACGGATGACGGCTCCTGCAGGGAGCTCCCCAGTGCCTGGCACAGGCCAGCACGCAGTGGCATGCAGGGAACACGTGCCGATGTCCACACTTGGGCCAAGCGAGGAGCCGCGGGGCTGGATCACCTTCCTCACATCTTCTTCCTCATCTTGCCCTTCTTGGAGCGCGCGCCCCGGCCGAAGGCGCCCTGCTGCAGCTCCTGGGCGCGGCGCCGGTTGCGGGCGGAGAGCTGCTTGAGGCCCCCGCGCTGCAGGAAGCGCAGCTTCTGGGCTCGGCGCCGCTGCTTCAGGATCTGTTGCTTGGTCTTGAGCTCGGAGCGCACGCGGCCTGCGGGGGCCCCGGGGGTGCGGGGCCGGGATGCACCTGCCGGGACAGGGGTCCAGGGAGCTCAGACTCCCAGTGTCTCTTCTCCTGGCAGTCTCCAGACTGCTCCCCGCCCCCACGCCCATTCTGTGTTCCCTGCGGTGGCCCCAGCGTCTGGCACACAGTAGGTGCTCAATAAAGCTTCAGTAGTCTATTGTGGTCAACAGCAGGGAACCTCAAGCCAGAACTGCCGGGGTTCAAATCCCAGCTGTGACCTCTTGTACCTTGGGCAAATCACTTAACTTCTCTGTGCCTCAGTTTCCCTATCACAAATAATAGCACCTACCTCATGTGTCCTAATGAGGAGTAAATGAGTTAATAGCTGTACAGTGCTCAAAACAAGGCCTAGCCCCAAGTAATGGCCTCCCGAGTGTAACTGTTAGATTATAAATCACTCCACAGAGGTTCATGGAGCACCGCCCCTATGCCGGGCACTGGGACCCAGCAGTGACCGAGACAGACTCTAGCCCCTGTCTCCAGGGACTGCTGCTCTAGGCTTGTGCGATGAAAAAAGACTGCAGCTTAACCTTCCTTCAGCAGGAGAGAAATGAGAGGAGGCCAGAGAGGAAAGGGACTTATCCAAGGTCACACAGCAAAGCGGCAGAGGCACAGGTCAGTGGCCCCGCTCCAGCCTGCTCTCCCGGGTCTCTGCGAGGGCACTTACCCCCGCCTCCCTGGCTCCCCACTAAGCCCTGGGTCCTCGTCCTCCTCCTCCGGCTCCCTCTCCCCGCCCGGCTCCTCCCCACCCACAACAGTGACCTCTGCGGGGCTTCCAGACAGATGATCATTAAGGCGGCCCCAGATGTCTCCACTGGGGCCGGGGCATCACCTCCAATGAGGACAAAGCACCCAGGAGAGAACAGCTGCTTTTCCCGTAGCCCCAGGCTGCCCTCGCCTCCCCAGAACCAGCTGTCCACAGCAGCAGCCTGCTCCCCCCAAGGGAAAACCAGGAGCAGAGGAGGGAGCAGGGAGAGGGCCCGGAGGAGGCAGGGACACATCCACAGAGACAGAGAGCAACGGGGACAGGGAGACACAGAAAGACAGTGAGAGACAGAGACTGGGAGATTGCGTGCGTGCGTGCGTGCGTGTGTGTACGTGTGGAGAGAGAGGAACAGAGACAGTGAGGGAGACAGATAAAGAGACAGAGAGACAGAAAGACAGAGATAAGAGAGAACAGGGAAAGAGAGAGAGAGGGACATGGACACAGAGTTAGAGACGGAAAGAGAAAGAGAGCCGGAGACAGAGAGACCCAGAGAATGAGAGAGAAAGAGGAAGCGTCACAGAACATCAAAGGCAGAAAGCAAGAGAGCCAGAGAGAGAGAAGCAGGAGCTACAACCAGAGCAGGAGAAACGCCGCCAGAGACAGAACACGTGGAGAGCACAAGGAGGCCCCGAGCGAGGCGGAGAGGAGCCACAGGAGCCGGGACAGAGAACGGGCCCAGGCCGAGGGACGCAGACTCACAGGGACACGGAAGAGGCAGGGACCAGCCCTGCAGGTTGGGGGAGACAAGCAGGCGCTAAGGCCGCCCCGAGAGAGCCCCGGGACACGGTCCCAAGCTCCCCTCCCCCCAGGGGAGGCCCCGGCTGGGGAGTGGCAGGCAGCTGGGTGGCCCAAGGCCAGTCACTGCCCTTGTGAGCCACTGCAGTCTACCTGCCCCCAGATCACGTTTGGCTACTCCCCACGTGCCAAGCGGGGGCCTCTCTGACAGCAAGCTCATCCGCAAAGCTAGGGGTGGGCTGGGGCAGGAGCCAGGCCCCAGTCCCCTCCCTTCAGAGCATGTCAGAGGTCATGAGCGTCGCCACCTCATGGCCTCTCTGCCACTTGAACCAATTCAAACCCCACCTTAGCCTGTCACTGGCTGAGGGACCCTGGCCAGATCAAAGAGGACCAAGTCCCCAAGGGGACCACTTGCCAACCTGCGTTTTGCAGGTGAGCCTACCTTGGCCTCGGCCCCACTTCCCGCCTCTTCGCTCTGGGCCCCGCCGGTCGGACGCCCCTTCCTCCTCCGAATCACGGTCATCGATTTTCTGTTTCTGTTTCCACTTCTGGTAGCTGAGAAGCCGCGTTAAGGAGACTGCCTGTGGCATCGTGAAGTCCTTGACACCTCGGGGCTGGGAACAGGGGCCCCAGCAGATACAGTTCCCACCTCTGGGGGTGCGGCGGTAGCGAGCGCTAGGCCCCACCCCTCCCAGTAAGAGGCGTGGTGGTAGAAGGCAGTCGGCCCCGCCCCTTGATCCCGCCCACCTGACATGGGGCGAGGTAGGGAGCACTCAGCCCCGCCCCCTCGCCCCCACCTATAGCAGGCCGGGCGGTAGAGAGCGCTAGGCCCCGCCCCTCACAGTGAGAGGCGTGGCGGTAGAAAGCACTCGGCCCCGCCCCTTGATCCCGCCCACCTGACATGGGGAGAGGTAGGGAGCACTCAGCCCCGCCCCCTCACTCCCACCTATAGCAGGCCGG